TGTAGAGATGGGGTTTTGCACTGTTGCTCAGGCTGGTCTCAAACTCCTGGGCTTAAGCAGTCCACTTGCCTCAGCCTCCCAAAATGCTGGGATTACAGACATGAGCCACTGTACCCAGCCATGTTCCACAGATTAATGCCACTCTTTTTATATATTGCTGGGTTCAATTTGCTAATATTTTGTTGAGGGGGGTGGGGTTGCTTCTGTATTCATGAGGGATATTGGTCTTTAGTGTTCTTTTATTGTCATACCTTTGTCTGGTTTTGGTTCAGGTAATACTAGCCTCGTAGAATGAGTTGGGAAGTAAATTTTCTATTTTTTATTTTTTTTGAGACGGAGTCTCGCTCTGTCGCCCAGGCTGGAGTGTAGTGGCGTGATCTTGGCTCACTGCAAGCTCCGCCTCCTGGGTTCATGCTGTTCTCCTGCCTCAGCCTCTCGAGTAGCTGGGACTATAGGCCCCCACCACCACACCCAGCTAATTTTTTGTATTTTTTAGTAGAGATGGAGTTTCACCCTGTTAGCCAGGATGGTCTTGATCTCCTGACCTCGTGATCTGCCCGCCTTGGCCTCCCAAAATGGGAAGTATTTTCTAAAAGAAATTTGTAGAGTTGGTATTATTTCATCCTTGAGTGGTTAGTAAAATTCTCCGCTGTAATCCTAGTGGTCTAGGCCTAGAATTTTCTTTGTTGGAGGATTTTAAACTTTGAATTCCAGTTTTTAATAGCTCGAAAACTATTTAGGTTATTTATTTATTTATTTATTTATTTAAATTATTTGAGACAGAGTCTTGCTCTATCGCCTAGGCTGGAGTGCAGTGGTGTGATCTTGGCTCACTGCAAGCTCCGCCTCCCAGGTTCACGCCGTTCTCCTGCCTCAGCCTCCAGTAGCTGGAACTACGGGCGTCCACCACCGTGCCCGGCTAATTTTTTGTTTTTTTAGTAGAGAAACTGATGTTTGTGTTTTACCATGTTAGCCAGGATAGTCTCGATCTCCCGACCTCATGATCCGCCCACCTCAGCCTCCCAAAGTGCTGGGATTACAGGTGTGAGCCTAGGTTATTTATTTTTGCCGCTTTTTTTTTTTTTTGAAGATGAGATCTTGCTTTGTTGCCTAGGCTGGAGTGCAGTGGTACAATCATAGTTTACTGTAGCCTCCATCTAACTGCTGGGCTCAGGTGATCCTCCTACCTCAACTTCCTGATTAGCTGGAACTACAGGCGTGTGCCGCCACACTTGGATAATTTTTTAATTTTTGTTTCATGCCAGGGTCTTGCTTTGTTGCCCAGGCTGGTTTCAAACACCTGACCTCAAGTGATCCTGCCACCTTGGCCTCCCCAAGTGCTGGGATTATAGGCAGGAGCCACCACGCTCATTCTTGAGTGAGTTTTGGTAGTTTATATCTTTCAGGGAATTGGCTTATTTCAAATATGTTGTCAAATTTATGTGCATAGAGTGTTGCTTTTTTTTTTTTTTTTCTGAGACAGAGTTTCACTGTTGTTGCCCAGACTGGAGTGCAATGGCACAATCTCGGCTCACTGCAACCTCCGCCTCCCTAGTTCAAGTGATTCTTCTGCCTCAGCCTCCCAAGCAGCTGGGATTACAGGTGCCTGCCACCGTGCCTGGCTAATTTTTATATTTTTAATAGAGACGGGGTTTCACCATGCTGGACAAGCTGCTCTGGAACTCCTGGCCTCAGGTCATCCACCCACCTCGGCCTCCCAAAGTACTGGGATTATAGGCGTGAGCCACCACGCCCAGCTGAGTATTTCATAACTGTAATTTTCATGTCTTCAGGATCTGTAGCTGTCACCCCCTTTCATTCCTGATGTTGGTGATTTATGTCTTTGATCTTTTATTCTTGGTTAATCTGGCTAGAGGTTTATCACTTTTATTGATCTTTACAAATAATCAACTTTGCATTCATTAATACTCTGTTTTTGTATTTGTTTTTTCTTTTTTCTGTTTTCAAGTTTCTTGATTTCTGCTCTTTTTTTTTTTTCCAGATGGAGTCTCGCTTTGTCACCCAGGATGGAGTGCAGAGTAGCATGATCTCGGCTCATTGCAGCCTCTGCCTCCTGGGTTCAAGCGATTTTCCAGCCTCAGCCTACTGAGTAGCTGGGATTACAGGTGCCTGCCACCACGCCTGGCTAATTTTTTTCGTATTTTTAGTAGAGACATTTACTGCTATAAAGTTCTCTTAAACACTGACTACATTACACGAATTTTAATAAGTTATATTTCTGTTTTCATTCAGTTAAAAATTGTTTTCTCATTTTCCCTGAGACCTCCCCTTTGCCCCACAGATTATTTAGAAGCGTGTTTAGTTTTCTAATATTTGGGAGTTTCCCAATATCTTTCTGTTAAGGATTTCTAGTTTATTCCATTATGGTCGGACAACAAGTCTTAGTATGATTTCAGTTCCTTTATTTTTGTTAAGGTTTGTTCTGTGGCCCCAAATACTCTACCTTGTAACGGTTCTAATATTTACTTGAAGAATGTACATTCTGCTGTCCTTTTTTTTTTTTTTTTTTTTTGAGACGGAGTCTTGCTCTGTTGCCCAGGCTAGGCTGGAGTGCAGTGGAGTGATCTCTGCTCACTGCAGCCTCCGCATCGCAGGTTCAAAGTATTCTCCTGCCTCAGCCTCCCGAGTAGCTGAGATTACAGGTGCCCGCTGCTATATCTGGCTAGTTTTTTATATTTTCAGGAGAGACGGGGTTTCACCATGTTGGCCAGGCTGGTCTCGAACTCCTGACCTTGTGATTCGCCTGCCTCAGCCTCCCAAAGGCGTGAGCCACTGTGCCCAACTTCTGCTGTCTTATATTATTTATAGTTACAGTGAATCTAGCTAGATATTATGGAATAGAAGGAAAAAGTCACTTGTATGTTTAAGATAAAAAGAGTTGTCCAGGTGCTGTGGCTCACGCCTATAATCCCAGCACTTTGGGAGGCCGAGGTGGGCGGATTGCTTGAGTGCAGGAGTTCGAGACCAGCCCAGGCAACATGGCAAAACCTCATCTCTACAAAAAAACACAAAAATTAGCCAGGTGTGGTGGTGCATGCCTATAGTCCCAGCTACTCAAGAGGCAAGAATTATTTCTAACATTTGACAAGTTATTTCAGGCCATTCCCGTAGACCTCAGGGAGTGTCCATTCACTCTTGCACTGTTAAATAAAAAGTTTGCAAGTACTTTTAGGCCTTAAGGAAGCATGGTTCTCAAATTGTCGTGTGCATCAGAATCATGGCAGAGACAGTTAATGAGATTCCTGCATTCCATACTCTGGAAAGAGCAGTTAGTGTTTATTTTAGATACTCTTCATAGATAAATGATCTCATTTACACTTTCCAAACATACCTCTGAGAGAGGCACCATTTTATAGATGAGGAACTTGTATGAGATTACGTCTGTAATAAATGAAAAGGCCAGTAAGCCTGGCTTGTCTTACTCAGGATCCCAGACTCTAAACCACAGCACTACACGAGTCCTCATTCCTGAAGTGTGCTGATTCCTGAAGTCCACGGTGAAACCAAGGAAGATACATGTTAAATTATCCTTGTTATTTTGATTTGTCTTGTCAACAACTGTGAAATACATAGTTACAGTCCTATTGACTACGTCTTGGAGGCTGTCCTAAAAATGATTTATATAATTTTATTTTCTCCTTTGTCTTCTAAAAAGAAGAGAAATTTACTTCATTAGTGGTGACTTTCATAATGAAAATACAGTTTACTACAAAGGGAGACCTGTGGGCCATTGCGTCTTCCATATCTAGTAAATTATCTTTTCTTTACTAAAAAGAGTGAGCTTGGAGTCAAACAGCAAGTTTTATCTCATGATTTCTTCTTCTTTAACTTTGTATTATGGAAAACTTCAAATATCTACATAATTGAAAAATTTTTTTTTTTTGAAATGGGGTCTCACTCTGTCGCCCAGGCTGGAGTGCAGTGGTGCGATCTTGGCTCACTGCAACTTCTCCCTCCCGGGTTTGAGCAGTTCTCCTGCCTCACCCTCCCTAGTACCTGGGACTACAGGCGCACGCCACCACACGCGGCTAATTTTTGTACTTCTAGTAGAGATGGTGTTTCACCACGTTGGTCAGGCTGGTCTGAAACTCCTGACCTCAGGTGATCCGCCTGTTTTGGCCTTCCAAAGTGCTGGGATTACAGGCGTAAGCCACCGCGCCCGCCTGAAAGATATTTAATAGAGTAATGAACCTCCATGTATCCATTACCCAGCTTTGATTATCCACTCATGCCATTATTGTTAAGATCAGTCTCTCCACTTCTTTGCTGCCTGTTTATTCACATCATTTCATCTAAAAATTGCAGAGTATATCTATAAAAATAAACGCTTTTAAAGCAGAGAGTTGGCCGGGCGCGGTGGCTCAAGCCTGTAATCCCAGCACTTTGGGAGGCCAAGACGGGTGGATCACGAGGTCAGGAGATCGAGACCATCCTGGCTAACACGGTGAAACCCCGTCTCTACTAAAAATCAAAAACCTGAGCTAACACTGGCGAACACGAGGTCAGAGATCGAACCATCTGTCCGGTGACCTCTACTAAAAAATACAAAAAAACTAGCCGGGTGAGGTGGCGGGCGCCTGTAGTCCCAGCTGCTCGGGAGGCTGAGGCAGGAGAATGGCGTTAACCTGGGAGGCGGGGCTTGCAGTGAGCTGAGATCCAGCCACTGCACTCCAGCCTGGGCGACAAAGCGAGACTCCGTCTCAAAAAAAAAAAAACCAAAAAAAAAAACAGAGAGTTTTTGAGCAGTTCAGTACATGGATTTTCCTTTAAATGCTTTGTAAATGTCGTTACTTGCACAAAGCCTTCGTGTGTTCTTGCACTCTTAATTAATTTTGCAGTGATTCACAACTTTTCCAGCAGGGGGCACTTGGAAGCTGGAGGGATTTAGGTATTCAAAGGAGAGCCCTTGAGCTTTTATCGTAACTCAGAGTAATCCATCTCTTCCCATGCTTTTTGAAAAATCTCTTTGGTGAATCTAGATGCAAAGCAAAAGATGCGACAGGCCTGGAAGTCCTGGTTGATCTACGTGGTTGTTCGTAGGACCAAACTTCAGATGCAGACTACGGCTCTGGAGTTTAGGCAACGGAGTATCTTAAGGTGAGTCTGCTCAACTGCCCTACAAAGTATCAACCATCATTTTACCTCATCAGTTTTATGGTGCTGGAAAACAGCATAAGACCCCACCTTAAAACAATGGTTTGTGTTTGGTTTTATTTTTATTTATTTATTTATTTTTCGAGATAGGGTCTTACTCTGTCACCCAGGTTGCAGTGCAGTGGCACAATATCAGTTTACTGTAACTTCCACCTCCTAGGCTCAAGCAGTCCTTCCACCTCAGCCCCCCGAGCAGCTGGGACTACAGGCATGCACCACTATGCCCAGCTAATTTTTTTTTTTTTTTCATTTTTTTGTAGAGGCGAGGTTTTATCATGTTTCCCAGGCTGGTCTTGAATTCATGGGCTTAAGCGATCTGCCCACCTCAGCCTCCCTAAGTGCTGGGATTATAGGCATGAGCCACCATGCCCCATTCTCACCTTGAAACAATGTTTTGAATGTAGTTGATGCCTAATAAAGATTTATTGATAACTTGTTTATAAGATCAGTTTCACATAATCATAATTAACACGAATTGAGTGCTTACTATGTTCTAAACTCTGTTAAGTTTGTGTGTGCATGTGATAATTTTGTAATGTAAAGTATCTTATCTAACTCTTACCATAAACTGTAAGTACCATTATTGTACAGATTAAGTTGTACAATAAGGCTCAGAGAGGTCGAGTAACTTGCCTAGCATATACAGGTTGTAATTGGCAAAACTAAGGCTCACCCACCCATACTCTTAACTGCTGTTCTGCGTTGAAGCCCATCACCATTGTAGACATACTGGAAGAACATGAATTAGTCCACTTTTGTAGCCAGATGTGTAACAATGAGCTGCATTATAATGGACAGATTTCACTCTCTTGTCTGTAGTGATCCACTGGTGTCCTGAATGGTAGTATATTAAGAGCTCACTTCCTGCCTGAAAGAGTTGGGTATTGAACAAAGTATGGATAATAGGAGAGGCTTTCAGCTGCACTTACTTGGGTTTGAATCCCTCTTCCAGCCTGTATTATTGGGTCATTTCATCTCTTCAGCTCTTATTTTCTTCATCATTGAAATTGTTACACCATACTTACAGGTTTGTCATCAGGAAAAAATAAAGTAATATCTGTAAAGTGTTTAACAGTGTCCAGAACATCAGTGGGCATAAAGAAGTTATTTATTTAAGTAGAAATAAAATAGGCAGAGTGCAGTAGCTCAGACCTGTAATCCCAACACTTCAGGAGGCTAAGGTGGGAGGATTGCTTGAGGCCAGGAGTTTGAGACCAGCCTGGGCAACAAAGCCAAGACACTGTCTCTACACACAAAAAAATATTTTTAATAAGTAATTAAAATCGTTACTTAAAATGTATTCAGCAAGTATTTCAAAGTGCCTAATTAGTATGCAATTTTACTTGAGTCTGAGTGATTTTTTTTTTCCCCCGAGATTTATTCTCGCACTGTTGCCCAGGCTGGAGTGCAGTGACGTGATCTTGGCTCACTGCAACCTCCGCTTCCCAGGTTCAAGCTGTTCTTCTGCCTCAGCCTCCCAAGTAGCTGGGATCACAGGAGCATGCCACTATCACCCGGCTAATTTTGTTTTTGTTTTTGTTTTTTTTTTCGAGATGGAGTTTTACTCTTGTTGCCCAGGCTGGAGTGCAATGGTGCAGTCTCGGCTCACCGCAACCTCCACCTCCCAGGTTCAAGCAATTCTCCTGCCTCAGCCTCCTGAGTAGATGGGATTACAAGCATGCACCACCACGCCCGGCTAATTTTGTATTTTTAGTAGAGACGGGGTTTGTCCGTGTTGAGGCTGGTCTCGAACTCCTGATCACAGGTGATCCACCCGCCGTGGCCTCCCAAAGTGCTGGGATTACAGGCGTGAGCCACCGCGCCCTGCCTAATTTTGAATTTTTAATAGAGACAGGGTTTCACTATGTTGGCCAGGCTGCTCTCAAACTCCTGACCTCAGGTGATCCACACGCCTCAGCCTCTCAAAGTGCTGGGATTACAGACATAAGCCAGTGTGCCAGGCCATAACTTATGTTTTTTAACAAACCAAATTGTGTAGGCCAAACAGCATATCTGTGGTGTCTAAAGCAGGATCTGACCGTAGGAACCGTAAGTTTCCAACCATTAATTGGCAGATCTGGGACTTTTTCTCGATTGTTTTGTTTTTTTTTCCCCAGCAGTGAATCTAGAGATGGTGCTATGAAGGAGAGGGCTAGAGCTGAGGGTCTGAGGCCCCACACTAACTGCTCCTCTCTTTTCTGAGTGGTTTTTTTCTGATGGATTCCATCGTTGATTTGCTCTTTCACAGGGTGTGGTGGAGCATGTGGAGGCAGCAACTAGGACAGGTCCGTGTGAGCCGTGCCCTCCATGCCTCTGCTGTGAAGCACAGGGCCCTGAGCCTCCAGCGGCAGGTGAGTCCAGTAAACGTGGGTTTTGGCATCCTCTGTCCATGTTGTCAAGTGTCTCACCCACAGAGGGAAGTGCTGGGCCTTCCCTGCAGCTCAGGGCCTGAGCCAGGGTGGGGGCAGAGGTAATCCGGAAGGCTGGGCTCTTCCAGAGGGAGGCTGCTGTTAGGAATAAAGCAGAGGCTTGTCCTAAATGAGCCTAGATCAGTGGCTTCCAGAGTGCTTCTGGTAATTGTGGAGCTGGAGAGGGATTTATAAATTAGTTATAAACATGTTTAGAGAAACAGCAGTATACTCTGATTTCCTCATTACTGTTTTCCTACAGCAAATCAGAAAATAATTGGGGCAGAAAAGAAACTAAGACTGAAGAGAAAACCTGGCTGCTGCTGCTTTGTAGTTTTGATGGTCTTAGAGTGTTCTTTTAGGCAAGCCCCTAGCTTTTTTTGTCAATCATAAAGGACTAAAGCCTGTACTAAAACTTTCTTATCCTTTGACATATTCTCTGAATTCTTGTCATGTTTTTATGCCTGCTGGGTACTTACAGAGCTGCCAAGTAAGTTATAGGAAACAGAACCGGGAAGAGGAAAAAAAAAATTAGCGCCTGTTTCCAAATGTAGGAATAGTATCTTCTTATTCTAACAACAAATTGCATAGTCCATGCAAATATGTGCAAATCACATGCAAATAGCATATATAGTCATCTAGATCAGTGATCAGCAAACTGGCTCACTTTGGACTGCTTTCTGTGTTTGTAAATAAAGTTTTATTAGGATGCTGTTACACCCATTCATTTACGTATCATCTGTGGCTGCTTTCCGATTACAAGGGCAGTGTAGAGTAGTTGCAAAAGAGACCTTATGGCCTGCAAAAACTAAACTATTTGTTTTCTGACCCTTTAAGAAAAAGTTTGCTGACCTCTGAACTTGTAAAGTCTTCTGAGGCAATAGCAAGGAAATAAGAGACACAGCCAATAATAATAACAGTACCAATAAGCAGCAGCAACTGCAGCCTGAGTGACAGAATGGGATCTTGTCTCAAAAACAAAAAAGAAGAAGAAGTAGCTTTTATCGTTGTCTACTTGTGTTAGGTGCTGGACTAAGTGCTTTACGTGCATTATCTAATTTTCACAAACCTTTTTAAAAGTCCCATGTTATTGTTAAGAAAACCAGGAAGGTTAAATAACTTGAACCAGGGTCATATGTATAGTGAATGTTAGAACCAGGTTTTAACCTAAGCAGCCAGAAAGCTGCATCATTATCTCTTTTTTTTTTTTTTGAGACAGAGTATCACTTGCTGTCTCACCCAGACTGGAGTGCAGTGGCACAATCTCGGCTCATTGCAACCTCTGCCTCCTGGGTTCAAGCAATTCTCTTGCCTCAGCCTACCAAGTAGCTGGGACTACAGACGCATGCTGCCACGCCCGGCTAATTTTTTGTATTTTAGTAGAGATGGGGTTTCACTGTGTTGCCCAGGCTGGTCGCTAACTCCTGAGCTCAGGCAATCTGCCTGCCTCAGCCTCCCAAAGTGCTGGGATTACAATGGTGAGCCACCGTGCCTAGCCCAGAATTTTTTAAAGTAACAAAATTTAATGGAATGGACACTACCAAAGCTCTACCCTCCCTCCCTCCCTTCTACTACCTTTCCTCCTCAGAGATAGCCACTCCTGATTCTGGTATGATTGTTCTCCTGTATTCTTTTTTCTTGTAAAAATATGTGCACATATCCTTAAAGAATAAATGCATGGTCCTCCTGTAGTCCTGTCTACTCCGGAGGCTGTGGCAGGACGATCACTTCAGGTCAAGTGTTTGAGGCTAGCCTGGGCAATATAATTAGACCCCATCACTTTAAAAGAGGTGGGAGAGGCCACGGTGGCCTACGCCTGAATACCGGGACTTCGGGAGGCCAAAATAAGAGGATCACTTGAGTTTAGGAGTTCAAGACCAGACTAGGCAACATAATGAGACCCCATCTCTACCAAAAAAAAAAAAAAATTAGTTAGACGTGGTGGTGCATGCCTGTTGTCCCAGCTACTTGGGGGCTTAGGTTGGAGGATCACTTGAACCTGGGAGGTCAAGGCTGTGGTGAGCCATTGATCATGCCACTGCACTCCAGCCTGGACAGTAGAGTAAGACCCTGTCTCAAAAATAAATAAATAAATAAATAAGTAAATAGCATGGCTTTGTGTAGTTGGGACATTTATGAATGGTGTCATACTGTACTTTGCAACTTGTTTTTTTAGTGCAACGGTATATTTTTGAGGTTTAGCCATGTGATTTCTTTCTTCCTTTTTAAAAATAGAGACAGGGTCTTTCTCCATTGCCCAGGCTGTTCTTTAACTTGCAGCCTCAAGCAATTCTCATACCTTGGCTTCTTAAAGTGCTGGGATTACAGGCCTGAGCCACCCTGCTTGGCCCTATCTATGTAGATAGACAGAGATTTATTAACTGTGTATATTATGCCATTGTATAAACAAGGCACAGTTTATTTGCTTACTGATGGACTGTTGACTACCTCTGCTTTTTATAATTATGAACAATACTACCGAGAGCATCCTTTTTTTTTTTTGAGACTCCATCGCAGTGGTGCGATCTCAGCTCACTGCAACCTCCGCCTCCCAGGTTCAGGCGATTCTCCTGCCTTAGCCTCCCAAGTAGCTGGGACTACAGGTGTGTGCCACCACATCCAGCTAATCTTTGTATTTTTAGTAGAGATGGGGTTTCACCATGTTGGCCAGGCTGGACTTGAACTCCTGATCCACCTGTCTTTGCCTCCCAAAGTGCTGGGATTACAAACATGAGCCACCATGCCTGGCCCCAGTTTCTTTTAATTATTCACAGATCTCTTTCTCGGCTCTCTTCCATTCATGTATTTGTCTATCCATACCATACAAATACCATACTCTTTTAGTTACGATTTGATGAAGCAGGTAAGCAAGAGTGTAGGTTCTTGAGTCAGACTGTCCAGTGGAATTCTGCCTCTATCACCTATTAGCTTTGTGCCTTTGAATGAGTTATTTCACCTTGTTTGTACCTCAGAATTCTTATCTGTAAGTAGATCATAATAGTACCTACCTCATGAGATTGTTGAGGCTTTAGTAGGACGATCCAGTTATTAATAATATACTCAGAGCAATGCTTGGAATATGGAAATGCTTGATAAATGCTAGCTGTTTATTACTATTCCTACTTAACATACAGCTCTTAAGGCTCTATATTTGAGAGAGAATCCCCTTTATTCTTGTTTTGTTTTTAAACTTGTCTTAATTGTTCTTCTGTACTCTTTCTTATTAATTTTAGGATCAACTTGTCAAGTTCTATAACAAAGCCTATTAGGATTTTTTTTTCTTTTTTTTTTTTTTGAGACAGAGTCTCGCTCTGTCACCCACCCACTGGAGTACAGTGGTGCGATCTTGGCTCGCTGCAAGCTCTGCCTCCCAAGTTCACACCATTCTCTTGCCTCAGCCTCCCGAGTAGATGGGACTACAGGTGCCCGCCACCTCACCCGGCTATTTTTTTGTATTTTTAGTAGAGATGGGGTTTCACCGTGTTAGTCAGGAGGGTCTCGATCTCCTGACCTCGTGATCTGCCTGCCTTGGCCTCCCAAAGTGCTGGAATTAACAGGCGTGAGCTACCGCACCTGGCTCAGCCTATTAGGATTTGTATTGCAATGTACTGACAGCTTATTAGGTTAGAATTGAGTCATTTCATCTATGAATTTGATATATCTCATATTGCTGAGCTTGAGAAGGGAGAGTAGGAAGGATGAGATCATGAGGTAACAGCCAGAACGTAGGGCCTTGCAGGCAGCACTTGAGAAAAAAGGCTTTGACTTTTATTCCTGGGAAGGTGAAGAGCTGCTGGCTCTGAGCAGAGGCGTAACATGATTGTACCTACCTCTTAACAGGATTCTCTGATTCATAGTGTACTGCTTTTGGGGTAAGAAAGGGAAGGATATATATGAATGTGTGTCTGTGTGTTTGTGGTGTGTGTGTGTATGTCTGTGTTTGCTTATATTTTCAAGAAGGAATAATGGAAAAATAAATGAAAAACTTACCAAAAAATGGTTACCTATAGGAGGAGGGAGGGAAGAGTATAGGAATAGAGTACTTCTGTGAATTTACTTTGTTACATAGTTTTAACTTCAGAACTATGCAAATATTTTATATAATTACAAAGCAAGAGTAAGTAAAAAAACAATTGATATATTTTCAAAACAAACTGAAATAAACATATCAAGTTTGTGGCAATGACTACACAGAAAAAATTACTTCAAGTAACTTTAAAATACAATATTTTGACTGTTCACCCTGGTGGAATGTGTTAAAAGGACATAATGAACTGCTAAGAAATCTAAAACCACATTCTTATTAAACAAGTGTTATTGTTACTAGGAGGTTTGAAATTGTTGTATTGAAAGTATAGTTACATTGTAAGATAAAGCAAATAATTATGGCAGTGTTGTTAGGAATAAAGATCTTCAATAGAAAAGATTACAAGTATAAAAATTAAAGAAATTAAATCTGCAGTTGGAACTGTAAATATCAATATGGACTCAATTATGTATGTGTATATATATGTATATATATGTGTGCATATGTGTATGTATATATATGTGTATATATGTGTATGTGTATATATATGTGTGTATATAACCATAAATACATTTCTGGCCTGGCACGGTGGCTCCCAGCACTTTGGGAGGCAGAGGCAGGTGGATCACCCGAGGTCAGGAGTTTGAGAACAGCCTGGCCAACATGGTGATACCCCATCTCTACTAAACATATAAAAAAATTAGCTGGGCGTGGTGGTGGTGGGCACCTGTAATCCCAGCTACTCGGGAGGCTGAGGCACGAGAATCATTCGAATCCAGGAGGCAGAGGTTGCAGTGAGCCAAGATTGTGCCAACTGCACTCCAGCCTGGGTGACAGAGTGAGACCCTGTCTCAAAAAAAAAAAGCATTTCTAACTCTATTTACTGAAAAGACTTAGAAGCAGTGACCAGTAGTATAGCATTTAGTATCCCCAGTGCCCAAGTTGTGGTCTTAACTATTTCCCACTAATAGGAAGCAGGGCTTTTTAGAGAAATGGCTGATTATAGGTCTGGGGCAGGAAATAGACAAGATACACCTAGGACATAGTGTGGTGAAGACTGAGGAACTTAACAAAAGCTAATGGAATTGTGTCAGAAGGACTCAGGGACCAATTTGGAAGGGTTCCCGGGGCTTAAGATAGAAAAGTTTGAGCATCAAAAAACAATAAGCTAGGCATGGTGGTGCCTGCAGTCCCAGCTACTCAGGAAGCTGAGGCAGGAGGATCACTTGAGCCCAGTAGATTGAAAACATCAAGTACATAAAATTCATGCATTTGAAATAACTTTAAAAGAAAGTGGAACTCGTCGGTCATGATTTTGGGTTGTTAGGGGAGTAACTCAGTTCTTTAAAAATTAATGAAGGCAAAAAATGAAGCATTTATCCCACCTTTCCTGTATAAACTGTTAACTCCAAGAAACCAGAGGGTTAACGAGAGAGAAGGCTTCTTCATAGAATTCCAGTTAATAAATGCAGAAGGAGTACTAGAAGAGAAAATTGCTGTTTTGCCACCTCTAATGAGGACACAGATCTAGGCAGCCATCACTAGGTGAGAGGATGGTGGGAAAATACAGGAGAAATCTGGCTACCTGCCGTCTGAATCCACCAGACAATCTTGGCATTGCTACAACTATGGCAGCCAGACTTGATGTGCCTCATGATACTATGTAAGTGGAAGTACCCAGCCACATTCATGAACTGTTCTTGCCTAAAAAATTGAACATGACTCCAAGCCTAATGCAAGTCTCTCAGTTTATAGGAAATACAGGGGTCAGAGTAACAAGTTAAAGACACCTCGAGATTACAGTCAGTCACATCCAAAATGTAGGACATTTTATAGGATAGATGACTTGATTTCTCTAGTAGATTGATGGCATGAAAGAGAAAAAAAAGCAGGAAGGAAAATTGTCATATAAAACAGAGAGATTTAAGTGACCTAAGAATTAAAGCAAACCAAAAAGGACCACTCTGGCTGTCGTGTTAGGAATACATCAGAGCCAGGCATGGTGGCAGATGTCTGTAATCCCAGCACTTTGGGAAGCCAAAGCGGGTGGACAGCTTGAGCCCCAGCGTTTGAGACCAGCCTGGACAACAAGGTAAAACCCTGTCTCTACAAAAAATACAAAAAATTATCCTGGTATGGTGGCATGTGTCTGTAGTCCCAGCTACTCAGGAGGCTAAGTGGGACGATCACCTGAGTCCGGGAAGTTGAGGCTGTAGTGAGCTATGATTGCGCCACTGCCCTCTTGCCTGGGCAATGGAATAAGACCCTGTCTCAAAAAAAAAAAAAAAAATAGCTGGGCATGGTGGTGCATGCCTGTGGTCCCGGCTGCTCAGGAGGCTGAGGCAGGAAGATTGCTTAAGCCCAGGAGATTAGGGCTGCAGTGAGCAGTATTCTTGCCACTGCACTTCAGTCTGGCAGTCTGGGTGACAGAGTGAGACCTTGTCTCTAAATAGATAAATAAATAACCAGAGATGATCAAGGATATAAACAGGGAGAACAAGTGAGAAGCTATTACGAAATTCCGGGTGAGATTTTGCACAAAGATGATAAGAAGACGGTAGTTGGATTCTGGATATCTTTTAAAGATGTAACCGACACCTTTAAAAGATGTGTGGATGAGATACGAAGTTTTAGAGTCCAAGATGACTTCCAAGTTTTGGCCTGGGGAATTGTAACAACGGAGTGCCATTTACTGAAATAGGAAAGACTGCAGGAGAAGCAGGTTTGTGGGAAGAGATTAGGAGGAGCCCAATTCTGGCCTCTGTATCTTCAGCCTGATAGGCCTTTTGAATATCCACAAGAAGATATGTTAAGGAAGCAGTGGGATATTGGGATATATGTGTGGAATATTGAGGATGGGGCCAGGATAGGAGGTACATTTGGGAAATTCAGGAGTTCTCAGTAGGCAGATGGTATATGAAGTTACTAGAGTGGGCGGGGTGCGGTGGCTCATGCCTGTAAATCCCAGCACTTTGGGAGGCTGAGGCGGGAGGATTGCTTGAACCCAGGAGTTCAAGACCAGCCTGAACAACATAGACCCCATCTCTTTTTTTAAAAAAATCTACTAGGGTGTGCGAAAAAATAAAGGGAGTGAGTGTAACTAGAGGAGAGGTTCCAGGGCTGAGCCTGCGAGGGGCACAGAGGTGGGAGTCAGCAACAGAAACAAAGCAGGGACCCGGACACATCCCAAAAGCCAGGTGAAGGAAGGAGGAGGCTTTGTCAGACACTCCTGGCAGATCAAGGGAGGTGAGGACTGAAATCTGACCTTTGGATTGAGCAACGTGGAGATGGCCGATGCATTCGATAAGAGCAGTTTCATTCAGTAAGCCGTGGGAGTGGGCTCAAGAAGGCCTGCCTGGGAGACAGAGAGATTAGAAAATAGCTCTTTTGAGGAGCTTGAAACAGAAAGAACCAAAGTGTTAGCTGGACGGCACAGTGTGGTCTAGAGTCTAGAGAGGGGTGTTGCTTTCTTTGAGAATCACTGGTTTATTCCTTTCAGAAAGTATTTTTGTGATGGCAATCTTCCCCCCATAACTTTTTATTTTTGACAAACACCAAATCATAGAAAAGGTGGATACTGGATGTATTTCACCCAGTTTAACCCATTGTGGTTTTTTGGTTTGGTTTGGTTTGGTTTGATTTTTTTGAGACAGGGTCTCACTCTGTCGCCCAGACTAGAGTGCAGTGGTGTGATCACTGCTCACTGCAGCCTCAACCTGCTCTAAAATTATAGACACAAAGTTTATCTTAAAGCTTATATCTCCTAAAAAGGGCAGTCTCCCACATAACCATAATATCATTATTGTATTCCAAGAAATTTAATATTGATATGATAATATGTAACATGCAGTTCATATTAAAATTGTATATGGTTGCTATTTTCATTTCCATAGTCTAATCAAAGGTCACCCATTGCTTTTAGTTGTTATATCCTGAAGACATTTTTTTAGGATGGGGAAAATAATAGCACATCGGTATGCTGATTTCAGAAATCTATAGAGAGTGAAAACGTGATTTATAAGAGGGCAGCTGCCAAGGCGGTAAACTTAGGAAGATTCGATGTAGCCAGAGCGGGACAGGGTTGGGAGGGGACTGACTTTGGTGGGAGGATGGACGGTTTATCCAGAGTAGCAGGAGAGAGAGAAGACAGAGCCCGTGGGCAGGTGGGTGGTTAAACATGGTGGACCTTGAGGAAATTTTCTTTTGATTGCTTTTATTTCTTAGTGAAATGGGAGCGATGGTATTCAGTTGTGAGGAGGGAGAGGAGAGGTGCGACAGGTTGAAGAAAAGATATGAAGTCTTTGTCTAAGTCATCTTCAGATTAGGACATGCATTATCACTGATCTAAGGGTGTACATTTATAGACCCTTAGCTTCTATAGATAGGCATCCCTGGAACTAATCTGCCTGAAAAAGGACCACTTTACAGTAAGCGTCCTCTGACTTTGGAAGAAAAGGCAGACCCTCCCCTGTCCCAAATCTGAATGAATTATGTCACCCCTCGGATCGTTTCTGCTCCTTGTCTGCTTGTTTGTGTTTTTGTTTTGAGTTGGTCACTCTTGTCGCCCAGGCCGGAGTGCAGTGGTGTGATCTCAGCTCCCCGCAACCTCCGCCTCCCGCGTTCAAGAAATTCTCCTGCCTCAACCTCCTGAGTAGCTGGGATTACAGGCACCCACCATCACGCCTAGCTAAGTTTTTATATTTTTAGTAGAGATGGGGTTTCGCCATGTTGGGCAGGCTGGTCTCAAACTCCTGACCTCAGGTGATCCGCCTGCCTCGGCCTCCCAAAGTGCTGGGATTACAGGCATGAGCCACTGCACCTGGCATCTGCTTGCTGATTTTCTTCTTCTTTTTTTTTGTAATCCAGAAAAAAATTACTTTTGAAAGCAGAATGTCCCTCTTAAAGACCCTTTTACTCCACAGTCCCATAGCTTATGATCCCGCTAGGGGATTGCCACTTCCTTGTTTCTGATTTCAGCCTTTCCACTGTGTGTGTCTTTCTCTTTTCCCTTTCCACCTGCTCTTCACCCTGTTTTCCTGCCTCTCCTTTGACTATTGTCTCTTCTCTGGTTTTCAGGCTTGGTCACAGTGGCGGGAACAGCTCCTGTATGTCCAGAAGGAGAAACAGAAGGTCGTCTCCGCGGTGAAACACCATCGGCACTGGCAAAAACAGAGATTTCTGAAGGCCTGGCTTGAATACCTGCAAGTTCGCAGAGTGAAGAGACAGCAGAATGGTGAGTAAGAAGCTCCAGGCTCTCAAGACAGAGGATCTGGTCACAATTTCCACTCTCCTGCTGCCGTTGGTACTGTACTAAGAAGTAATATAATGACGTTACTCCAGAAATGTTGGTAAAAGGAGATTGAGGAGGAAAATACATCATCCTTGAGTCAAACTTATTTCCCTTTGGCCTTTTCTTTTATTTATGTATCTATATCTATCTATCTATAGATAGAGTTTTTTTGGAGACAGAGTTTTGCTCTTGTTGCTCAGGCTGGAGTGCGGTGGTGCGATCTCAGCTCACTGCAACCTCCGCCTCCTGGGTTCAAGTGATTCTTCTGCCTCAGCCTCCCAAGTAGCTGGGATCACAGATGCCCACCGCTTCGCCCAGCTAATTTTTGTATTTTTAGTAAAGATGGGGTTTCGCCAAGTTGGCCAGGCTGGTTTTGAACTCCTGACTTCAGGTGATCCCCCTGCCTTGGCCTCCCAAAGTGCTGGGATTACAGGCGTGAGCCACTGCACCCGGCCTCTTCTGTATATTTTTTATCTAAATAGGGTTTTCATTATGCTCTAAGTATTGTAATTATTTTGATTAATATGTTGATAACTTATGGCTTTGTGTCTTGCTTTTTTCCACACAGTTAATTAACATTTTCCTGCATCTTAAGTATTTGTCACAATTTTTTTTTTCTTTTGTTTTTTGAGATGGAGGCTTGGTCTGTCGCCCAGGCTAGAGTGCAGTGGCGTGATCTCCACTCACTGCAAGCTCCGCCTCCCAGGTTCACGCCATTCTCCTGCCTCAGCAGGAGAAGATGGGACTGCAGGCACCCGCATGGTGCCCTGCTGACTTTTTGTATTTTTAATAGAGACGGGGTTTCACCATGTTATCCAGGAGGATCTCGATCTCCTGACCTTGTGATCCACCCGCCTCAGCCTCCCAAAGTGCTGAGATTACAGGCATGAGCCACCGTGCCCAGCTATGAATGTTATTTTTTTTAACAACTATTCATATTTTATAGGATGGCTTACCTTAATATACTTAGCCATTCTCCTATTAATAGATATTTGGATAGTTTCTGTTTGTCTCCAATTATGCAAATGCATATGATTTTGATATCAAGTTTTTTGGATATTGCTTATATGGTTTTGTTTCCCAGTTAGATTCAGAAGTAATAATACACAGAAATGTGAACATTGGTACACTTTTAAAGTTAAGTTTATTGAGTTTATACCCAAGTGAGTCAAGCACTGTGCTAGACACTGGGTTAGGGGTCTCTGGCATTCAGCCAAACCTCGCTGCAGAAATCTCTTAGGCTGCCAACACTGTCTCTTGGGAGAGTTCGAATGTGTTCTTTGGAGGATAGTGACCCCAGACCAGCAGTCCAGTTGCCCAGTCCTGGAATGTGAAGGCATTAAGCTGTTTAGCATGATAAGCTATAGACTAACGCCTGCCTCCAGTTACAGCATTCAAATTCCAGGTCTGATTCCCATCCCCTTCCCGGGCCCTAGCTCATCAGACCATTATCTGACTAGCATTAAAAGGAGATGAAGCTGGCAGCCAGGATCAGGTTGGCTGAAAGCTCAAAAAAGCCTATGCCAGCATGGCAGCTGAATTTTATGTCATTAACTCAATCTCTAAGTCCTATCCAGGAGTCATTTGTTTAGAAGCAAAAGTAAAACAGTCCTTTTGAAAGCAACAGTTATCATTCCTGTTTATCAGTATCTAACCAGAAGCCTCAGCCCTTTGATGTAACTGATTTTATAGCACCCTCCTCCCTAAAATCACAGAGCTTTTCTCTTTCCTTGGAGAGAGGAGATATAACTCAGGGATTTCTAATGACCTTTCAAGGTTTAAAAAAACATGTATTTTGGCCGGGCGTGGTGGCTCACGTCTGTAATCCCAGCACTGTGGGAGGCTGAGGCGGGCAGATCACTTGAGGTCAGGAGTTCGAGACCAGCCTGGCCAACATGGTGAAACCCCCCGTCTCTACTAAAAATACAGAAAAATCAGCGAGGGATGGTGGTGCATGCCTGTAATTCCAGCAACTCGGGAGTCTGAGGCAGGAGAATCACTTGAACCCAGGAGGCACAGGTTGCAGTAAGCTGAGATCGCGCCACTGCACTCCAGCCTGGGCGACAGAGCGATACTCCAACTCAAAAAAAAAAAAACAAAAAACTTTTAGCATTGTGTGTGTGTGTGTGTGTAGCCTTGAACCCCTGCTGTCACCAGTAGTGGGGTTCAGCTTGTCTTAAAGATGTTTCCAGTTCATCCTCTAACCTTGAGGGAGCAGCAGTTATTTCTCTGTTGCAGAGATGGCTGAGCGATTCCATCATGTCACCGTGCTCCAGATACACTTCTGTGACTGGCAGCAGGCCTGGGAGCAGAGGCAGAGCTTGTATGCCTACCATGCCCAGGTGGAGAAACTGGCCAGGAAGATGGCCCTGCGGCGCACCTTTACTCACTGGAAACACTGTATCCTTTCAGATACCCAGGCTGTCCATTGCCTCAGCCAGGACAGCAGGAGCTCAGCAGCACGTGAAATGAAAGTCATGAGATACATGGGAAACAACTGCCAAACGATTTACAACAGCCTTTTCTCTGTTGGCAGTCTTAAAATTTTTTGTTTAATTGGGATTGTGTATAAAAAGAGTACTTATATATTTATAGTTTAAAAATAATAAAATGAACAACTATGTATCTTATTACCCAACTTTCAAAATAGAACCTTGCTAGCACACCTCTCTTCTCCTCCCTGATTGCATTCTTTTTCTTTTCCCTCAGGTGTAATCCCACTTTCCTGATGAACATTTTTTGGTATTATAATATAAGTGCTTTTCTCTGCCCACTAGGTGGTGGAAATAGCCACCACTGGCTTTTTCTTGGTGATACCATCACCGTGACCATAAGCTTCCATTTATTGCGCTTTTACTATGTAGCAGACACTATGCTTCATCCTCATAGCAGTGCTGTGGAGTAGATGCCACTATTGTCATTCTACAGACAGGGAAACAGATTCAGAGGAGTTGAGTGTATTTTAAAGTCACAAGTCATTGGCAGATTCAGGATTTTCAAAACCTGGGCCTTTAACTCCTGTATACATATTCTTTTTTTTTTTTTGGAGATGGAGTCTTGCTCTGTCACCCAGGCTGGAGTGCAGTGGCACAATCTTGGCTCATTGCAATCTCTGCCTCCCGGGTTCAAGTGATTCTCCTGCCTCAGCCTCACGAGTAGCCGGGATTACAGGCATGTGCCACCATGCCTGGCTAATTTTTGTATTTTTAGTAGAGATGGGGTTTCGCCATGTTGGCCGGACTGGTCTTGAACTCATGACCTCAGGTGATCCACCTGCCTCAGCCTCCCAAAGTGCTGGGATTACAGGCATGCAGGCATGAGTCACCGCACCCAGCCTCTTTTTTTTTTTTTTTTTTTTTTTTGAGACAGAGTCTTGCTCCATCACCCAGGCTGAATTGCAGTGGTACCATCTCAGCTCACTGCAACCTCCACCTCTCGGGTTCAAGCGATTCTCCTGTCTCAGCCTCCTGAGTAGCTGGGATTACAGATGCCCACCACCACACCCGGCTAATTTTTGTGCTTTTAGTAGACATGGGGTTTCTCCATATTGGCCAGGCTGGTCTCAAACTCCTGACCCAAAGTGATCCACTTGCCTCAGCCTCTTAAAGTAGTGGGATCACAGGGATGAGCCACCACGTCCAGCCCTGTGTACCTATGCGTTTTTTTTTTTTGCTTTTTTTTTTTAAGATGGAGTTTTCGCTCTTGCTGCCCAGGCTGGAGTGCAATGGCCCAATCTTGGCTCACCACAACCTCTGCCTCCTGGGTTCAAGCAGTTCTGCCTCAGCCCCATGAGTAGCTGGGATTACAGGCATGCACCACCATGCCTGGCTAATTTTTTTTTTGTATTTTTAGTAGAGACAGGGTTTCTAGATGTTGGCCAGGCTGGTCTCAAACTCCTGATGACCTCAGGTGATCCACCTGCCTCAGCCTCCCAAAGGGCTGGGATTACAGGCGTGAGCCACCTCGCCCGGCCACCCAGCCATATTCTTAATCACTACCCCTACCATACTGTGTGCCCAAGTATAAGAATCTGGACTGCCTAGGATGTTCATCCACACATTTTATTTGTTCATCAAAGTCTTGCTTTGTGTAAACTCCTGCTTAAATTCTTGGATACGAGGAAGCTCAGACTAATGGTAGTTCATTGTCTAGTGGGGAAAATAAACATGAAAATGGGTCTTTAAATATGGCGTGATAACTGCTGTCATAAAGGTTTGTATCAAGTCCTGTGAGAGCGACTGTGGAGATTCAGCCAAGGAGGTAATGTTTGTGCAGAATTTAAGTCATAGGAGATGAGAAGTTGGGAAGGTTGATGTCTTAGGGGAAGACTGCAGAAGGTTGGAAAAGGCAAAAATGAATGACATTTATGCAGGTTTAGAGGTGAGGAAAAGCATTCAAGAATCTAGTGAGCTGTAGAGGTATGGATGGTGGGAAGGTAGAAGCAGGAACCTCTAGAGGTTTTTTAACTTTTTAAAATTTAGAGACAGGGTCACATGTTGCCCAGGCTGGAGTGCAGTGGCTTTCACAGGCACAATGGTAGCTTACTACAGTCTTGAACTCCTGGGCTTAAGCAATCCTCCCTCCTCAGCCTCCCAAGTAGGTGGAACTACAGGCACACACCATCACACCTGGCATCAGAGGTTTTTAAGAAGAGAAGAGGCTGGGGGCAGTGGCTCACACCTGTAATCCGAGTGCTTTACGGGGATCACTTGAACCCAGGAGTTTGAGGCTACAGTGAACTATGATGGCACCCTTGCCCTCCAGCCTGGGTGACAGAGTGAGACCTAGTCTCTTAAAAAAAAAAAAAAAAAAAAAAGAAGGAAAAGAAATGCAGTCAGATTTGTGCATTGGAAAGGATAATTCTGGATTAGCGGAGAGAGGCTAGCACCAGTGGGAGACCAGTTATGGGAGGAGGCTCACTTACCAGTCTGCGTAAGGGATGAGTCAGATGAACTGCAGGGTGTTGGGAGTGGGGACAGAAGAGCAGGAGGGGTTGGAGAGAGCCAAGAGATTTAGGAAGAGAGCAGATGGACTTGGCGACCGATTAGATGAGAGTGGGAGGAGAAAAGGTTTGAAAATAACTCCAAGGTTTTTAGCTCAAACATCTGACTGGATTGTGATGCCAAAACAGTGATTACAGAAAAAGGAGCAGATTCTGCTTTAGATGTGGTGATTTCTAAATGTTTACTGAAATTGGTAGCAGTTTATCTCAGGTAATTTTTGCCTCTCATCTCATGGGCATTCAAGGGGAGGAGTGCAAGACCAGATGTTTGATCAGTAACTGACGGGGTTTCCCTTTGCCCACTGCTTCCCTGGGTCATCAGGAGTAGACAGAGGTGCACCTCAGCCCACCTGGCACGTGTGTTATCCCCGATAGCCACGACCCTTCAGGTGGCTTGCTGAGAATGCACTGTTTAGGGGCCAGAACCTTGTTGAGACTGGAGGCCTTCACTTCCTGGCAGATATGCTGCTGTGTGCAGAAGAAGCTGCCCGGTGTGAGATGGCAGAAGAGCACCACAGGCACAGCCAGCTGGTAAGAGCCCTGCATCCTGGCATGGCTCCACTCGGCAGCCTTGCTTGGGCATCCACTCTTGGGGTACCCTGACCCCTATCACCTTCATTAAATGCAGTCAGCTATGGGTGAGTTTTCGTCATGAAACCCTCCTTTCATTGTAGGTGTCCCTGTTTTCATTTTGGATTACAGGTGCTAATGGTGTAGGGTCAGAGGGCTTTGGAGCTGTAAAGGAACCTCAGAGATTTAGTCCTGAGCTTTTTTTTTTTTACATGGGAAAAACCCCTTTTGAGTGGCAGAAGCCTCATTTATAAAATAGATCAAAGTAGCCATGCTGTGGTTGAAGCATGTCAGGGAGTCAGTCCCTGTTCTACCTGCTACTGTTCCCTTCCCTTGCTATACGAGGTGGTCTTCGAATGTTTTCAGGAGCCTGTGGGGCTCCACAAAGCACAGTACAAAAAACCCTAATCCAGTCTGATATCTTCACTTCTGTCTCAGAAAATTGAAGCCTAAGGCTTGGGGAAATATGGGCAAATAATCTTTGCTTAGTCAATTTGTGAGGCATTATTATTTTTTAGGGATGGAGTCTCACTATGTTGTCCAGGCTGGATTCAAACTTCTGGGCTCAAGCAATCCTCCCACCTCAGCCTCCTGAGTAGCTGGGACTATAGGCATGTGCCACCATGCCCAGTGTGGAGGCATTATTATTATTATTATTAGAGATAGGATCTCCTCTGTCACCCAGGCTGAAGTGCCATGTTACAATCGTAGCTTGCTGCAGCCTTGAACTCCTGGACTCAAGTGATCCTTCCACCTCAGCCTCCCAAGTAGCTGGGACCACAGGCACATGCTAACATGCCCAACTAATATTTTAGATTTTTTTTTTTTTTTGAGACGGAGTCTCGCTCTGTCTCCCAGGCTGGAGTACAGTGGCGTGATCTCGGCTCACCGCAAGCTCTGCCTCTGGGGTTCACACCATTCTCCTGGGTTCATGCCATTCTCCTGCGTCAGCCTCCCGAGTAGCTGGGACTACAGGTGCCTGCCACCATGCCCAGCTAGTTTTTTGTATTTTTAGTGGAGACGGGGTTTCACCGTGTTAGCCAAGATGGTCTCGATCTCCTGGCCTTGTGATCCACCCACCTCAGCCTCCCAAAGTGCTGGGATTACAGGTGCCAGGCCTAATTTTTTAGTTTTTTATACAGAGTCTCCCTCTGTTGGCCAGGCTGGTCTTGAACTCCTGTGCTCAAGCGGTCCTCCTGCCTCAGCATCCTAAAGTGTTGGGATTACAGGTGTGAGCCACTGCACCTGGCCTTTTAGGCATTATTGATGGAGCTGGATCCAGGTCCATCCTGGCCCAACCCCAGCCCTTCCTTTCACTAAAGATTCCTTTTTCCGTTTTAGCAGCTCTGCAATTATAGTCATATAAATGTACGCACTGAGCCCATATGGGAAAAAAACAAAAACACAAAACCATCACAGACAAAAAGTCTGTCTTTTTCTGACAGGCAACAGTTGATGTTTACCTTGGTCTGTAGAATTGTCGTGTGGATTGTGGCGTTCTCTCCTGGTGTGGGCGTGTTTGTTCTTGTGCAGTATAGATGGACAGCAGGGAGGTTCAGCAAATATTTATTAAGTGCCTGCTGTGCAGACTGGCTTGTGTTAGACTCCCAGGTGAATCTCAAAGTAGAGAACCACACTCAGGGAAATAACAGCTGTGAGAAGCTGTGACCACGCTTCTCTCCCGTCATTTGAGGCGCGGTCTGCCTTCACCTGCTCTTGGTTTACAGACTCTACTGATTCCAGTCCTTGTAATCAGTTGTGTCCTTTCTTTGCACAGTATTTTTGCTTTAGAGCCCTAAAAGACAACGTGACCCACGCCCATCTCCAGCAAATAAGAAGGAATCTCGCTCACCGGCAGCATGGTGTCACGGTAAGGGTTGTCGTCTGTATCAAGGGACCTCTCCTGATGGCCATTCTCTCTTGCTCTTTTTTCAGTCTTGCCAAATTAAGCAGAACTCTATTTATTTATTTATTTATTTATTTTTATTTATTTATTTATTTTTATTTATTTATTTATTTTTTTTTTTGAGACGGAGTCTCGCTCTGTCGCCCAGGCTGGAGTGCAGTGGCCGGATCTCAGCTCACTGCAAGCTCTGACTCCCTGGTTTACGGCATTCTCCTGTCTCAGCCTCCCGAGTAGCTGGGACTACAGGCGCCCGCCACCTCGCCCGGCTAGTTTTTTGTATTTTTTAGTAGAGACGGGGTTTCACCGTATTAGCCAGGATGGTCTCGATCTCCTGACCTCGTGATCCGCCCGTCTCGGCCTCCCAAAGTGCTGGGATTACAGGCTTGAGCCACCGCGCCCGGCCAGAACTCTTTGTAAAAAGACTTTTGTGCTTCAAGATTTGTCCAGACTATCAACTCTAAAACCTTAGTTTGCATTTTCTTTCTCTCTCTCTTCTTTTTTTTTTTTCTTTTTTTTTTTTGACAGAGTCTTTCTCTGTTGCCCAAGCTGGAGTGCAGTGGCACAGTCTAAGCTCACTGCAACCTCCGCCTCCGAGGTTCAAGCGACTCTCCTGCCTTAGCCTCCCAAGTAGCTGGAATTACAGGCATGCGCCACTACACCTGGCTAATTTTTGTATTTGTAGTAGAGACGAGGTTTCACCACATTGGCCAGGCTGGTCTCGAACTCCTGACTTCAGATGATCCGCCCGCCTCAGCCTCGCAAAGTGCTGGGATTACAGGCGTGAGCCACTGTGCTCGGCCTCTTTAGTTTGCATTTTCTTTGGTAATCCATGCCTACTGATAGAAAAACTCTTGTTTTTGCCTTGTTTGATCCCATTTTTTTTATCCGTTTGCTAAGAAAATGGATAGTTGACTCAAAGTTCAGGGACTATGGATTTTGACCTTGACCTAGGGGATGTAGTGATACAAACACACTTTCTTTCTCTGCTTATTTAGAGGCAGGGTGTTGTTCTGTCACCCAGGCTGTAGTGCAGTGGCTTACTGCAGCCTCAACCTCCCAGGCTCAGGTGATCCTCCTGCCTCAGCCTCCCAAGTAGTTGGGACTAGAGCTGTAAGCCACCACACCCAGCTAATTTTGGTATTTTTTGTAGAGACGGGGTCCCACTGTGTTGCCTAGGCTGGTCTCAAACTCCTGGGCTCAAGTGATCTGCCCACCTTAGCCTCTCAAAGTGCTGGGATTACAGGTGTGAGCCACTGTACCCAACCCAAATACACATTATTTATTTATTTATTTATTTTTGAGACAGGGTCTTGCTCTGTCGCCCAGGCTGGAGTGCAGCTGCAGTGGTGTGATCTCGACTCACTGCAACCTCTGCCTCCCAAGTTCAAGCAGTTCTCGTGTCTCAGCCTCCCAAGTAGCTGGGATCACAGGATCACTTAAACTTTGTCACCTTAACCATTTTTAAGTGTACAGTTCAGTGGCATGTATATCCTCATTGTGCAATCATACTATTCATCTCTAGAACTTTTTCATCTTGCAAAACTGAAACTCTGAACCCATTTCCTCTTTCCTCAGCCCCTGGAAACCACCATTCTACTTTCTGTCTCTATAAACTTGATTATTCTAGAGACCTCATAGGTGTAATCATACAGTATTTGTCCTTTTGCAACTGGCTTATTTCACTTAGCATAATGTATACTTTTTTAAATGACTACCTTTTTTTAAAAAAAAGGACAGGCCAGTTATTTTGTATATACAATTTATTTTTTATTATAATAATTCTTTTTAGAGACAGGGTCTTGCTCTGTCATCCAGGCTAGAGTGCAGTGGTGCGATCATATGTCATTGTAGCCTCATCCTCCTGGGCTCAAGAGAATATCCTGCCTCAGCCTCCTGAGGAGCTAGGACTACAGGTGCACACCACCATGCCTAGCCTTGTAGAATATTATTGTGGGGTTTTTGTTTCTGTGTTTGTTTTTTTTTTTTTTTTTTTTTTGGTTAGTGTTTTGAGGTGGAGTTTCACTCTTGTTGCCCAGGCTGGAGTGCAATGGTGCGATCTCGGCTTACCGCAACCTCCACCTCCCGGGTTTAAGTGATTCTCCTGCCTCAGCCTCCCAAGTAGCTGGGATTACAGGCATGTGCCACCACGCCTGGCTAATTTTGTATTTTTAGTAGAGACAGGGTTTCTCCATGTTGGTCAGGCTGGTCTCAAACTCCTGAGAACTCAGGTGATCTGCCTACCTTGGCCTCCCAAAGTGCTGAGATTACAGGTGTGAGCCATCACACCCGGCCCAATGTTTTATGTTCTTGATTTATCTCATTGTTTCCTTTTGATATCATTTAATTTTCCTTTAATCTACGTGGTTTCTATAATCATTACATCTAAGGACTTGTTTAGATTGAAATTAAGCATTTAGGCAAGACTACTTCATAGGTAGGAATATGCAATAAAATCAGTTTTAATTTCCAGAATGGCTTTCTGAAATGTCCTTGTCTTCTGTGAGATTAGGAATAGCTTCTTCATCTAGATTTCCATAGACTGGAAGAACCATCTTTTTGCCTTTTTTGTTGGCCCAGAATAGCTCTATAGTTCAGCCATCATTAATTTGTATGCCCAATGTATGTTGGCTGCTCCTAACTGAGGTAATTCCTGCTTTGGGGGAGCTCACAGTCTGTTGGAGTAAGGATTCACTGTTTTACCTTTCATCTCAGTAAATTTCCATTTTCTTCCTACCATGCTTCAGCTGCTGCACAGGTTCTGGAACCTCTGGCAGTCTCAGATTGAGGAGAAAAAGGAAAGAGAGCAGCTGCCCTTACTGCATGCTGCCTGGGACCACTACAGGTAGGGACTCTGGCTTCATCCCTGGCTCTCAGGGACTTTGTGCCTCTGACTTACTGTTTTCCTGGGGTAATCGCTTGCCCTTCTATGCATGAGTGTGGCAGATTCAGAAGGGCCTGCTGGGGTGGAGGTCCTGCTATAAACCGTTTGTTCCTGAATTTGGGATTTTGGCTGATCAGATGGGAGATAGAATAAGCATATGTGCATCAGTTCTTGGCCACCATAGTTGGGAGTATGTGCCTGGTCGCTCACTGCCTTGGTCCTACAGGCATCAATATGTTCCCAAGTTAGAATTCATGCATTACTAGTGTTAAAGAGAAGGGTCAGGGACATTTGTGACTCGGTCTTAAAGTGTGCAGGGAATGTTGTGAATATTTTAGAGCTAGTCGTTCAGTTAAAATAAATAACACTACATTTCTGTGAGGAAAACTCAGAATGTATAGGGTGGAAAGTATAAAGGGAAAAATAAAAGTTGCCTGGTCCCCTCCCTACAAGGAAGAGTAAGATCTTACTCCGCAGAGCAGGGAAGTACGAACTCTCTTGCTGCCAGAAATGTCGAACATGCCCTCCCTTTCTTTGCTCTCCCCTTTCCCTCCCTGCACAGTATAATCAACTTCTTTTGCATAGTTTAGGTCCAATTTTGAAGCATTTTTTAATGAGTTAGTGAGAATTCCAATAATTAACTGACTCATTTAGAGTTCTCAAGACACATTATTCCAAACCCTGGTTTACAAAACCTAGTGTGAGAGGCAACATGTCATGGACCCCCAGGCTTCGGCCATGAAACCAGGAAGTTCAGGCTATCTAGGGGACTTCATACATATTTCCTAAACTCCAGAGCTACTGTGCTTTTGGTGGTCTAATTAGGTTTTACAGGAAAGTTGTCAACATTTTAGGCAATCCACAGTCCAGAATCAGAGGTTGACAGATTTTACATTAGATACCAGGTTCTTACTGCCCTCTCTCCTAGAATGAAACTAATAAGCCCATGGGGTGCCTTTAACTCACAGGAAGTAACTGTACCCCGATTTACCCGCCTTAAAACAAAGTTTTAAAAACTCGATGTTCTTCCTTTTGTTTCAGGATAGCACTGCTGTGCAAGTGTATCAAATTGTGGCTACAGTATACTCAGAAGAGGCGGTACAAGCAGGTATGGAGTACTTTTTAGCAGATTGCTCTCCTGCCTTACATTCTTGGACCCATTTGCTTTGGAAAGATTCTTGGAAAAGACCTATGCCAAGAGGTCTTGTCGTTCTTCTTTGGAAGACAGGGTGTTGAAAAAGCTCAAAGACATTTCTTCCAGTTTCCACCTCTGATATCAGAAAGTCTTCATAACTTCCATTTCTCATCTGCTATGAAAATGTAAGTTCTCTCTGAAAGTACTGAGCTCTTATCAGCCATTCACACCTTTACTCAAATTCATTTAGCCTCTGAGTTAGCCAGCCCATCACCCAGTGGGACCTGCAAGAGATACACGGAGAGGTGCAGAGCGTAAGTGCTGCATCCCAGTACTAAACAGTGTGAGACATATGTCCCCCGGAGGTGGAGGATGTGAGGTCAGGACCACAAATAAGTAAAGGCAGATTGAGAAAGATAGATTCATTCAATTTAAGAAACACTTACTGAGCAACTGTTGTGCCTCAGACACTGCACTAAGCACTGAGGATACAACCGTGATATAAAGTCAACAAAATTCCTGCTCTCCCAGGGCTCATACTTTAGCACCAGGGTGACAAATAAGTGTGACCTTACAAGCCCATTCTGCCAATTGGGAGTACCTTCTGGAATGTTGAACTGAGAAGGATTTCAAGGCCATGTTGACACTCACTGGGAAAGGGTTCAGTTGATGGTGTCTGCCATTGTGAGAAGTGCCCCCTTTTTGGTCATCTCTGGAGTGTAACAGAGGAAGACACAAACCAAACTCCTCCCTGTTATTTTCATGCTGCCCACCCTACCCATACCTCCATCTTCTGCTGGAGTCTAAGAGGCGAATCTTTAAATTCACCTGTTAGCTAGTTCCCTATAGTTTGGGGATAGAATCCAAATTTTTAGCAAGGCCTACAAGCTCCTTTGGGAGCCGGTCCCTGTCTGTTTCTCTCCCCTTTCCTGTTACCACTCTGTTCCTTCACAACTGCACTCTGACCAGTTAAACTGCCAGTGGTTCCCTAAAGGCCCTCTGTGCTCTCCTGCTTTTCTCTCCTGCTTCTCTTGGTACCTCCAGTTTTCAATTTCACACTCCTTTCCAGCTCAGATGTCACCTCCTCCCCCAGGCCAGTCCACCTCCACCCCTACCCCTGAGGCATGGCTTTATCAGAATATTCATCTTGTGGTTGTTCACTGGCTTCTCTTTCCTCACAGGCAGTGAAGTCCTTTAGAGTACAGCCTGTCCCTTTTTCCTCCTTAGCCCGACACCGTGCTTGGCATGGGGTATGTGCTAATATTTGGATGAATGAATGCACAGACCAACAAATGAACCGCCGTTGATTTCTTCAGAGCTTTTTTCCAAGGATGGTATCAATTGGTAGAGCTTGGATGCTATAGGGCATGGCCTCTTTTTGCGTCACTCTTGCCTTCCACACTTAGGAAATGCTAGAGTCACTGCATTCTTTGACATGCCTTTGGATTATGTTACTGGCTTTGAAAAGTTCAAGTAATGCAAGTTCACCAGAATGTAGGAAAGCCTTTCAGAAAAAGACTGAGTGTCAGAGTTGAAAGGTTGTATTTATTCAAGGTGGAAAGCTGAGGGTCTCTTTTATTTCCTTCCTGGAAAACGAGCACTCCCCTTGACACAGGGGCCCAACACTGGCAGCCAGTCTGGGGTCAGCATTTTCATCTCTCACACTGATCTAGCATGGCCTGCTTTTAAAGGTGTAGCAGGTCTGAAAAATAGGAAGAGCACTGCTTCGTCATTCCTAAACCTTCAGCTGACAATTTGAATATCACCTCTCGGTATAGGTATCCCAGGAGCACGTCAGTTCTTTCTATTCTTAGACAAGATAAAAATATTATTTTTTGTGGGTTTCTTCCTTTTTAAAAAGTGACATAGAGTCAGCCCTCTGTATCTGTGGGTTCCACATCCATGGATTCAACCAACCGTGGAAAAAAATATTCAGAGAAAAAAAGAATGGTTGTGTCTGTACTCAACATATACAGACCTTTTTTTCTTGTCAGTAGTCCCTAAACAATATATAAACAATAGAGTATAACAACTGTTTACATAGCATTTACATCGTGTTAGGTATTATGAGTAATCGAGATATATACAGGAGGATCGCCTAGGTTATATGCAGATGCCACATCAATTTGTTGTTGTTGTTGTTGTTAGTTTTTTGTTTTGTTTTGTTTTTGAGACAGGTCTCACTTTGTCACCCAGGCTGGAGTACAGTGGCATGATCTTGGCTCACTGCAGCTTCACTCTCCCCAGGTTCAAGCGATTCTCCTGCCTCAGCCTCCCAAGTAGCTGGGACTACAGGTGCAAGCCACTATGCCCAGCTAATTTTTAAATTTTTTTGTAGAGGTGGGGTGTCGCCATGTTACCCAGGCTGGTCTCAAACTCCTGAGCTCTGCCTGCCTCGGTCTCCCAAAGTGCTGGGAGTACAGACGTGAGCCACTGCACCTGGCCTGCTCTACCATTTTATGTAAGAGACTTGAGTATCCATGGATTTTGGTATCTGAGAGGGACCCTGGAACCAGTCCCCCACGAATACCAAAGGATGGTGCTCTGCAGAATGGCGAATTGTTTGCTAACTGTTGAAGCTGGGTGATAGGGGCATAGGTATTCATTATACTGTCGGCTTCTACTTTTGCTTACATTTGAAAATGCCCATAAAAAAAAAAAAAGAAAAGAAAAGCAATGTGTAGGTATTATAGAAAATTTAGGAAGTATAAAAAGACATAAAGAAGAAAAAATGAAACCATTCATGACATTTAATGGGTAAACCTGGTATTCCTCTGTGGGGGTAGGAGTGTATGTACCCATCTATTCACATACATATACATATGCATACTGATCCAGTTATCTATTGCTGTGTAAAAAATCACCCCAAATTCAGTGGTATAAGACAACAACCATTCTATTATGCTTTATGGATTCTCAAAGATTGAGACAGAACACTATGGGAATGGTTGGTTTCTGCTCCAAAATCAGCCTCAGCTGAAAAGATTCTAACAGCAAGGGGTTAGAATCATCTAGAAGTTTCTTCACACGTCTCTAGATCCTGGACTAGAATGACTCAAAGACTGGGCTCAATTGGGAATGTTAGCCAAAGAACCTGTATATGACCTCTTTGTGAGGCTTGGGCTTCCTTGCAGCATGGCGGCCTTGGGGTAGTCAGCCATCAGGGCTTCAAAATGAGTGTTCCAGGAACAAGTCAGAAGCTCTGTGGCTCTTTATATAGCCTCAGAACTCACATACTGTCACTTTTACCATGCCCTATTGGTCAGAGCAGTCACTATCCCAGCCAGATAGATGCAAGGGGAGGGAACAGAGATCAATTCTCAGTGAAGGAAGATCAAAGAATTTGCAGCCATGTTTTTAAAACCTCTACACATGTTGGCCGGGTACGGTGGCTCACACCTGTAATCCCAGCACTTTGGGAGGCCAAGGCAGGCGGATCGTGAGGTCAAGATATCAGGACCATCCTGGCCAACATGTTGAAACCCCGTCTCTACTAAAAAGTACAAAAAATAGCTGGGTGTGGTGGCACGTGCCTTGTAGTCCCAGGTACTTGGGAGGCTGAGGCAGGAGAATCACTTGAACCCGGGAGGCAGAGGTTGCAGTGAGCTGAGATTGTGCCACTGCACTCCAGCCTGGCAACAGAGTGAGACTGTCTCAAAAAAAAAAAAAAAAAAAAACAAAAAAAAAAAAAACCTCTACACATGCATATATGCTTTTTCCCCCAAAGTTTTGGATCATGGAGGCATATACAGTATATTCTTACGTCCATTGTCTGTCTTACCTACTGATGTATCAGTAAAATAGTAGACTTTTATAATTACATAAATATGTATGACAAACACTATAAACAAAATGAAAAGATAAATATTATGGAGTGGGGAAATATTTAGATTTATAACACATGACAAAGGACTAATAAATTGTTTAGGTTTGAAAACCCCATACATATCAGTGAGTCGAATGCTAACAGACAGTGAAACAGGTAATGGGTATGAACACCTAAGTCATGGGGAAGAGAGAAAGAGAGAGAGTGTGTGTGTGTGTGTGTGTATGTATTTGTAAAAATGCTTAACCAATGTTTAAGTGAAAATTTTTTCACCTCTTTCATTTTTCTTCTAGCATATTGGCAAAGATAATAATTTTCATCTTTTTCTCATTTTTATTATATAGGAAGCAGTCCTCCCACAAGAGTGTGACCCTGAAAGGTCATACTTAAAAAAAAAAAAAAAAAAGTTAAGTGCAGTGGTCATTCTTTGTTTTGCTTCAGCGGCTACAGGCCAGAGCGGATGGTCATTTCCAGCAGAGAGCCCTGCCTGCTGCCTTCCACACATGGAAGAGACTCTGGCGATGGCGCCAGCAGGACAATGTCCTCAATGCAAGAGCAACACGTTTCCACAGGTACAGTGCTCAGCTCCTGTCTGCACTGGGGCAGGTGTCTCAAATCTAACTCTGCCAATCACGCAGCCCATTTGCTGTGCTTTTCGGCTTCCCGGACCACCCCAGGCCCGAGTACTTCCTGGATTTTCAATAATGTGGGCTCATTGATTTCATCTAGCAGGAAAAGACAAGACAGTATTTCCCCTGGGAAATCTTTTGTCCATCTTTATTGCAAGGGCTTTCAAAACAGCCTGTTTCATCATAAGCCACTGAGAGCTCCATTAAAGCAGCCCATTAGCTTTCTGGATCAGAGCATGGTAGGACCTTGCATCACCTTGGCAGACATTCTTGAGTGTCATTTCCCCGAAACACTTCATTCCTGTTCTGCTAGACCTGGCTTTTTGAAGTCTTGAAATTATAGTCATCAACAAAACTACAAAGGTTGGGCCGGGCGCATTGGCTCACGCCAGTAATCCCAGCACTTCAGAAGGCCAGGGCAGGCCAGTCACAAGGTCAGGAGTTCAAGACCAGCCTGGCCAACATGGTGAAACCCCATCTGTACTAAAGATAGAAAAATTAGCCCGGAGTGGTGGCATATGCCTGTAATCTCAGCTACTTAGGAGGCTGAGGCAGGAGAATTGCTTGAACCCGGGAGGCAGAGGTTGCAGTGAGTCGAGATTGCACCATTGCACTCTAGCCCAGGTAACAGGGCAAGAAAACGTCTCAAAAAAAAAAAAAAATTAGAAAGCTCAAGGAGCAGAGCTACATCCTTTTAGTTCCCACAAGGGGCAAACTTGCCCACAGCAGGTTCTTGGTATGTGGTGGGACATAATGAAGAAATTATTATTTATTTATTAGTTTATTTTTGAGATGGAGTCTCGTCCTTTCACCCAGGCTGGTGTGCAATGGCATGATCTCAACTCACGGCAAATTTCACATCCTGGGTTCAACCAATTCTCCTGCCTCAGCCTCCCAAGTAGCTGTGATTACAGGTGTGTGCCACCATGCCCAGCTAATTTTTTGTATCTTTAGTAGAAATGGGGTTTCACCATGTTGGCCAGGCTGGTCTCGAACTCCTGACCTTGTGATCCGCCCACCTTGGCCTCCCAAAGTGCTGGAATTACTGGCATGAGCCACCACGTCCGGTCTGTAATGAAGAAATTATTACTAACTGTATGTCTGCCACTGTGTTGGGCATTGTGTGATGGAAGACAGAAAACAAATACATAAACTCATTCTGCCCATGGCATCATTATCTTCATTAATAATTTCCTTTTCACAGCCATCCTGAGAGACCATGTTCAAAATGATAAGTGGTAGCACAGCTAGTAAGTGGCGCAGCCAGGGTTTAAATTCAAATCTCCAGTTCCAAAGTCCAGGTGCTTTCTTCTTGATCAAGAGGAAGAGCTTTTTGATGACTTTGTAGGAGGGTGAAATTTTTGTGAGGAGGTAAGATTGACATACAAGAAACAACTGGGAACCAGTTCAAGAGAATAGATGCATGCGTCCCCAGTCATGTCAGCCACAAGTTCCTCCAGCGCTCAGAGCTAGTGCCGAGGGAGGCTGAGCATGGCAGTGTCTGGGAGAGGCTTCCTGTGAGTGAGAGGGTGAGGATGGTGGCTGGAGTGGGCAAGATGGGGAGGCCCAGACTGAAGGGATTGGGCTGACCCTACAGATAGCTATCCAACAGATATTTGAGCAGGTGCATGGAACTAGTAAAGTGACAGTTTTGGAAATTACCTTAAGTTCAGTGTACTTTATCTTAGGACAGAGGGGTGAGATGGAGGGGCATGCATTGGGAGACGTTGCAGTCATCTTAAATCTGGAGAATTTCAGGCCAGGTGCGGTGGCTTATGCCTGTAATCGCAGCGCTTTGGGAGGCCGAGGTGGGTGGATCATTGGAGGTCAGGAGTTTCAGACCAGCCTGGCCAACATGGTGAAACCCTGTCTCTACTAAAAATATAAAAATTAGCAGGGCGTGGTGGCGCATGCTTGTAATCCCAGCTACTCTGGAGGCTGAGGCTCGAGAATTGCTTTGACCCAGGAGGCAGAGGTTACAGTGAGTTGAGATGGCACCACTGCACTCCAGCCTTGGATGACAGAATGAGACTTCATCTCGAAATAAATAAATAAATAAATGTGTGTGTCTGTCTGTCTGTCTGTCTGTCTCTATCCATCTGGAGGGTTTTGAATGCTAGTTTGAGATTAGCCAAAATTCTGGGTTCCTTAGCATGAAGTCCAGGGAGATGGTTTTAGGTGGTGGCCACGGGGAATAGAGGCTGATGAAAGGCAACTCTTGTCTCTTCCAGCTTCTGCAGACAGAGCAACTTTGCCTTTACCTAGGTCCTATATTGTGGGCTGGTATAAGATTCCTTCAAAAAATGGCTTCAGGCTGGACGTGGTGGCTCACACCTGTAATCCCAGTAGTTTGGGAAGCTGAGGCAGGCAAATCACCTGAGGTCAGAAGTTCGAGACCAGTCTGACCAACATGGCAAAACCCCATCTCTACTAAAAATACAAAAATTGGCCAGACTTGGTGGCACACATCCCAGCTACTCGGGAGGCTGAGGCAGGAGACTCGCTTGAACCTAGGAGATGGAGGTTGCAGTGAACCAAGATCGCACCACGGCACTCCAGCCTGGGCAACAGAGCAAGATTCCATCTCAAAAAAAAAAAATGGCTTCAGTACTTAAAACACACACACACAGTACCCCTTTGTTTTTTTACTAACAAGTAGCCATGCTTGGTTCTCTTCTTTTTTTGTATTTTGTATGCTGTGAGAACCAAAAATTAAAAGTACCTTCAAAATAGCCAAGAGGAGCCTTTAAGGGATGTTTGCTAGGGAGCAGTTTTGGGTGGTTTTAGAGCTATCACTCTGGAGAAAAAGGGCGGAGGGTGACGTGGAGACAGGGTATAGCCAGGAGGCTTGCAGAATGGGGTAGGCCGGATCTGGATTTTTACCTGTTTTGGCTTGGTTGGACCTTTTTACGAAACTTGGTTTTTCAGATTCCTGTTTTCCTTGTTCATGAGCAGAGTGACTGGGAGTCGGGCTTAGAAGCTGGGCAAGCCTGAGTTCCGACCTGTGCTCTGTTACTTGCCAGCTCTGTGACCCTGGACAAGCCAGTCTGTCTCTGAGCTTCAGTGTCCTCGAATGTAACATTGAGATGATGTGGCCATAGTCTCTATCTCATATGGTTGTCATGAAAATGAAATGGGATAATACACGTAAAATACAAGCCAAGGGCCTGGCACAAAAATATGAACTATCCCCCTGGCCCCTGGAGTTGGTTTAATTTGTGACTCTCATGGTAAGTACGTGTTCAGAGGATTGGTTTGGAGTTTAGCAAATTAAAGTTCCAAATAAATATGTATCTTTGATATTCTTAGGGTATTTTTTAATGTTTTCGGAACAGATTTTATGATGGAATCTCATGACTTATGGCTAAAAATAATTTTTATTTATAAAATTTATATGTAAATTTAAAAACTATATATTTTAAAGCTATATAAAACTTATAATCCTCCAGTGAAAGGTACTGAGAATGAGACAAAACTGGTTTGTCTTTTATTTTGAGATAAAATGTATATACAGTGAAAAGCACAGATTTTAAATAAAATTTGATGAGTTTTCATAATTTTTTTATTTTTTTATTTTTAGTTTCTCACTCTGTCGCCCAGGCTGGAGTGCAGTGGTGCGTAATCCTCCTGCCTCAGCCTCCCAAAATCCTGGGAATATAGGCGTGAGCTATCATGCCTGGCCCACTGATGTATTTTTTTTTTTTTTTTTTTTGAGGCAGAGTCTCGCTCTGTCACCCAGGCTGGAGTACAGCGGTGTGATCTCGGCTCACTGCAAGCTCCACCTTCTGGGTTCACGCCATTCTCCAGCCTCAGCCTCCCGAGTAGCTGGGACTATAGGCGCCCACCACCACGCCTGGGCTAATTTTTTGTATTTTTTTTTTTTTAGTAGAGACGGAGTTTCACCGTGTTAGCCAGGATGGTCTCAATCTCCTGACCTCGTGATCCGCCCGCCTTGGCCTCCGAAAGAGATGGGATTACAGGCATGAGCCACCATGCCTGGCCGAGTTTCCATAATTTATACACCTATATAATCAATACTCCAGTCAAGATATAGAACATTTGTGTTACTCCAGAAAGTTCCTTCACATCCCTCCAGTCAGTCTCTACCCTGCATAGGTAACCAGTGTTCTGATTTCAGTCATCATCTGTTGGTTTTGCATGTTTTTTTCTGTTTGTTTTGTTTTGTTTTGTTTTCAGATGGAGTATCGTTCTTGTTGCCCAGGCTGGAGTGCAATGGCGCGATCTCAGCTCGTGCAACCTCTGCCTCCCAGGTTCAAGCGGTTCTTGTGCCCCAGCCTCTTGAGTAGCTGGGACTACAGGCGCCCGCCACCACGCCTGGCTAATTTTTAGTAGAGACGGGGTTTCACCATGTTGGCCAGGCTAGTGTTGAACTCCTGACCTCAGGTAATCCACCCTCTTTGGCCTCCCAGGGTGCTGGGATTACAGACATGAGCCACCATGCCCGGCTAATTTTTTGTATTTTTAGTAGACGCAGGGTTTCACCGTATTAGCCAGGATGGTCTCAGCCTTTCAAAGTGCTGGGATTACAGAAGTGAGCCACCACCCCCAACCAGTGGCACTTTTTGTCATATATTTTATGTCTAATGATTGATTGTAGAGACGAGGTCTCACTATGTTGCCCAGGCTGGTTTTGAACTCCTGAGTTCAAGCAATCCTCCTGCCTCAGCCTCCTGAAGTGTTAGGATTACAGGCATGAGCCACCATGCACACAGCCTACAATGTTACTATTTTTGCTTTAAATAATCAGTAGTCTTTTTATAAATCGAGAAGGAAAAAATGCAGCCTTTTACATTTACCCACATATTTTCCCTTTCCAGTGTTCCTTGTGTCTTCCTGTACATTTGAATGTTCATCTGTATCATTTCCCTTCAGCCTAAAGATGATCTTTTAGTGTTTTTATACTAAGGTCAACTGGGGTCGAACGATCTCAGCTTCTGTGTCTGGTCTCTCAAGTCTGGCTGGGCCAGAGCTCCATCCTACAACCCTGTCCAGCTTCTCCTGTCTCTGTTCTCCTCTTGGCCCTGCACAGTCACTCTCTGCTAGGCCTCCAGGAGTCTGCGTGTGTGGCCCTCATCTGAGGACCTGGGACAACCTCAGTAGAATTTTGGGTACTTCCCTCTGTTCAGCTGTCTCCTTTCTAGTACCCTGCCCCCACATTCCAGCCCCTCTGGCAGTCATTAACTCCAGTCTTTGCCTCCTCAGCTCACTGAGGCTGAGGGAGGCTCTGCTTAGCCTCCCTTCCTCTCACTGTTTAGAAGGTGCCCCCAGGCAGAAAGTCTGGGTGGCCTCGGGGCTCACCTCGCCTGTGTCCTGTCTTTTCAGCATCAAAATCTACACTTACTGTCCAGCGCCTGAAGACAATTGCCACGTATGTTTTGCCTAGTTTTGTCATATATGGCCAGAGGGTAGGTCCAAGACCAGTGACTGTGTTCTGCCTGGAAGTGGAATCTTTGCTTTAAGTGATGTGTCTTGTGTGTTAAATATCAGGGGAGCGAGATCCTGCAGTGCTGAACACGGATCCAATGGCTCCACCAGCATGGCGCCCCTAGTGGCTGTTGATCAGTTGTCCCAGCACTGCTGTTGCAGGATTTGATGTTGTTAATGGTGATCTGGTAGACCTAGGCAGAGATGACAAAACAGTGGTTCCCAAACCTTTCTTTCTTTTTTTTTTTTTTTTTTTTTTTTTTGAGACAGAGTCTCGCTCTGTCGCCCAGGCTGGAGTGCAGTGGCCGGATCTTAGCTCACTGCAAGCTCTGCCTCCCAGGTTTACGCCATTCTCCTGCCTCAGCCTCCCGAGTAGCTGGGACTACAGGCGCCCGCCACCTCGCCTGGCTAGTTTTTTGTATATTTTAGTAGAGATGGGGTTTCACCGTGTTAGCCAGGATGGTCTCGATCTCCTGACCTCGTGATCCGCCCGTCTCGGCCTCCCAAAGTGCCGGGATTACAGGCTTGAGCTACCGCGCCTGGCTGTTCCCAAACATTTCTACTTTCCTAATTCACCTGGAACACTTATTTAAAATACAATTTCCTGGGATCCCCCTCAGACTTGCTCAGTCAGCCTTAGGGGTCTGCCCCTTGTTTTTCAACAGGTCCCCGAAGGATTGGCCAGTGTGCACTGGAAAGGGCTCCACGAACAATCCTTTATCAGTGTTGTTAAGTCAGTATAGAATTAATGAACACCTGGGTCTCAGGGTCGGACTCTTTTTCGTACGGGGTGAAGGCTTAGCTGATACCAGAAATAACTTGGAAAATGTTGGCCTTTTTAAAAGTTTGTGGTTTTTTGGCTATCTGCTTTCCTTCCCTTTCTCTTTGTGCTGCTTTCTCCCTCATCTAAGCTTATTCACCTCTCTTCTTTTTTTCAGAGACAGGGTCTCACTCTGTTGCCCAGGCTGGAGTGGAGTGGCATGATCATAGTTCACCACAGCCTCAAACTCTTGGGCTCAGGTGATCCTCCCACCTCAGCCTCCCAGGTAGTTGGGACTACAGGCACACACTATCACACCCAGCAATTTTTAAATTTTTTTGTAGAGATGGAGTCTTGCTATGTTGCCCAGGCTGGTCTTGGCCTCCAGCGATCCTCCTGCCTTGGCCTCCCAAAGTATTAGGATTACAGACATGGGCCACTGTGCCCAGCCACTTACCTCACCTCTTATACCATAGCATGGTATAAAAGGAAAAATCCAATTATTTGGAACTTCTAGTTCTGTTTGGGTTAATTTTTGGTTTTGTTAAGTGCTTTACATTCTTCCTTGTTTTTTAGGGAGACATTAGAGAAGCAAGTATTTTCTATCTGGAGGCAGAAGACGTTTCAGCATCAAGAAAACCGCCTGGCAGAGAGAATGGTAAGTGGCTGCCCCTGAGGAGATGTGTGGATGGGCAGGATCTGATTCAAGCCATTGCACTCATGGCCTCCCCTCCTCAGGAAGTTGCTCGGACCTCACTGGAGGGCTCCTGCCTGTGACTCTTGAGGCAGGGCAGGCTCTGGGGCATCTGTCCTTTCTCAGTGGAGCCTACAGACAGCTTCTGGGCTGTACCACATTCTGACGTCCATTCCTTTTGCCTTAGTCATTATTTGTGGCCTGTAAATTCTTTCCTGGCTTCTGTGCCTCTCTCCTACTTATTCTGTTCTCTCCTTTCTGTCCTGCCTCAGGCCATCCTCCACGCAGAGCGACAGCTTCTGCATAGGTCTTGGTTCACGTGGCACCAGCAGGCAGCAGCACGTCACCAGGAGCAGGAGTGGCAAACAGTGGCCTGTGCTCACCACCGCCATGGGCGGCTCAAGAAAGCTTTCTACCTCTGGAGGGAAAGTGCCCGAGGGCTCCGAGCAGAGTGAGTGGCCAGTTCTGCCTTAAAAGCCTTTCTGTCCCAGGCCAGCTTTGATTGTACTAGCAGCGCCGTCAGCTCCAAGTGCCTGTCTGGAGGATTGCTTTACCCCAGACTCTGGTTGTAAGTTCTGGAAGTTCAACCTAAAAGAGTCTAACTAAAACTAGTTAGACTAGTTAAACTAAAACTAGGTTGGCCGGGCACAGTGGCTCACGCCTGTAATCCCAGCACTTCAGGAGGCTGAGGTGGGCAGATCACCAGAGGTCAGGAGTTCAAGACCCGCCTGACCAACATGGAAAAACCCTGTCTCTACTAAAAATACAAAATTAGCCAGGCGTGGTGCTCCATGCCTGTAGTCCCAGCTACTCGGGAAGCTGAGGTAGGAGAATCGCTTGAACCTGGGAGGTGGAGGTTATGATGAGCCAAGATCGCACCATTGTACTCTAGCCTGGGCAACAAGAGTGAAACTCCGTCTCAAAAAAAAAAAAGGATTGTAACAGCAGGACCTTGGGGTACCTCATGGAACTCACAGCCTCAGGAATTTGGCTGGGCATAGAAGTTCTCAGTGGATTGGGGAGGTCCTGCTCATTGGCCACATCCTGCTTACACTTGGGGCCCATTCGAAGTGACCATAGCCAGGTTAGGAGGCCGAGGCAGGTGGATCACCTGAGCTAATGAGTTCAAGACCAGCCTGGCCAACATGGCAAAACCCCATCTCTACTAAAAATACAAAAATTAGCCAGGCGTGGTGGCACAAGCCTGGAATCCCAGTTACTCAGGAGAGTGAAGCATGAAAATTGCATGAACCCAGCAGACGAAGGTGGCAGTGAACCGAGATGGCACCGCTACACTCCAGCCTGGGCAACAGAGCGAGACTCTGCCTCAAACAAAAAAAGTGGCCATAGCAGGGAATACACTGATGGGCCCATGCTGTGACAGCTGACCGCTGCAGATAAGGGATAGGGACCAGCAGCTGTGGCCAGTGGGTGGGCTGTGGCAGTTTTTAACCACACCATGTAGTTAGAGAGAGGAGGGTAGGTAGCCCATGTGTCCGCTGCAGAGGCTGTCCTGCTTTGGGGCCTTTCAGTATCCACTGTGTGTTCTGAGGATCTCACTCCCTGTCAAACTCTGACCATGTTTAACCACTTTCTCGGTCGGGGGCTTCACACCTGCACATGTGAGCTTCAGTGGCACTTGAAGCCCTGGGAAGTAGGCCAACATGTGATCATAGGTGCTTTCTTCTGAGAGTGCAAGTTCTTTGGCAGCTCTTCAGAGAGGGTCTCTGCTCCCCCCAAAACTTAACCAGGTAGGGCCATGGACTGTGAGGGGGAGCCCGTAGAGGGTGCCCTTGCTGGGTGGGGGCTGCAGCACTGAGCTCTGCCATCTCCCCACAGGAGGACGGGCAGGGTGCGGGCAGCAGAATTCCACGTGGCCCAGCTCCTGCGCCGGGCCTGGAGCCAGTGGAGGGAGGTAAGGCTTTGTGGCGAGTGCCACCCGTGTATGACTTTTGGACAGGTGGGCTGTGTGTCAGCGGGACTCAGGCGATGTATGGACCACACCACCTGCCTCTGAGCGGAAGGAAGAGAGTAGGCAGCACATAAAGTGTTAACTCAGTTTTATGAGATGATTGGCTGAAAATTTTGTGTTCTTTCAGATACTAGGCTGTTCTTATTTGAACTTACTGCATCTAAAATGCCTGATCTAACCATTTACAGGAGTCCTAGTGAGTGTAAAAAACGTTTAAACTCACAATTGAGCATTTACTGCAAATCAAGCACTTGCCTCATCCAGTCATCACAGAACCCCTACGAAGCGCATATTTATCGATGGGGCCAGAGAGGTGAAGTCATTTACACTCACACAGATGACGTATAAAATGGAGGCAAAGCAGGAAGCCACCCCCACCTCAGACCCCAGCCCACGGTGGCCACTGTCTCCTCTGTCTGCAGTGCCTGGCCATGCGCGGGGCGGAGCGGCGGAAGCTGATGCGAGCAGATCGGCACCAGCAGCAGAGAGCGCGGCTCAGGGCGCTGCAGGCGTGGGTGGTAGGAGCTGCTGCTTCTCTCCTCATCTCCGTGCTGTGGGGCCCGGGGAGGTTTCTGGAGACTTTGTTTCCCCTCTTTGTTCTTCCTGTCCCTCCCAGAACAGAGTAATGTGACACACCTCAAACCAAGCAAGTGCCCCAGACAGCGGGCCTTAGGCCACAGGGTTCTTTGATTCTTGCTTGGCCAAGTGGAACCAGGTGCTGTCGGAGGGTACCAGCCTTGTAGTGAGAGCAGCTCCTGGCCCTGGAGGCCCATGGTTTGACTTAGCAGGTGAGGGCCTGTGAGACACTTTCTCCCTGTCGTCTGGGAGGGTCTGCTGGCCCTGGGATCAGGGGCTGTAGGCCTCTCCCTGCCGTTTTTGAGTGCTCTGGGCATGGCAGCCTTGTGGTAGATGCACCTCCGAGACCTGCCTAAACAGGGAGAAGTGTGGGCCCAAGGGCAGCCTCAGTCTTCCTTGTCCCCTACAGACTTACCAGGGCAGGGTACGGAGCATCCTCCAGGAGGTGGCAGCCAGGGAGAGCCAGCACAACAGGCAGCTGCTGCGGTGAGTCTCCCGGGCGCCTCCCAGGCTCTGACTGGGGAACGAGGAACGCACTCCAAACCCCAGCCTTTTAGGGAGTCCTGCCGAGGGCCAGATGGGGGATGATCCCAGGTTCCTAGTAGCTAATACCATGGTCTTGGCTTTTCCACTTCACTCACGGGTTCGCCTTCATTTGTCTTAAGCCCCTGCTGTGTGCGGGGCGGGACCTTGGAAAGCACCTGTCACCTGCATGCCTTAAAGGCCACTTGTTTCCTCCCTACTTCACACTGCAAGATGCAGCTTTGCAAGGCACCTCGTCGTCTCTTCCACTCCAGAGGCTGCAGCGGCTCCCTTTCCTGTCAGTTTCCAGGCAGTGCCCTTCCAGCTTGCTCTGCAGGCCTGTCACTGACTCTCCAGAGTCACCTCTGGGCCCTGTCAGACCATCTGCACCGCTCACCCCTGTGGAGGGCGCTTCTGCAGCTTCTACCGCTCTTTCTAAGCCAAACTCTAACCTCCCTCCTTCCCAGCAGTCCTCCCACATGCCCTTCTTTCATTTCCTGCCTTTGTATTTGTTCAGCACATGATATTCCTGGTGGCCTGTGGGCAGTGGGTCTCATGGACTTTCAACGCCTCCATCCTTAGCTGGGCACAGTGGCTCATGCCTGTAATCCCAGCACTTTAGGAGGCTGTTTGAGACCAGGAGTTCCAGACCAGCCTGGGCAACACAGCGAGACCTTGTCTCTACTGAATGTAAAAAGATTAGCTAGGCATGGTCATGTATGCCTGTGGTTCAGTGACTTGGGAGGCTTAGGTGGGAGGGTCACTTGAGCCCTGAAGGTCAAGGCCGCAGTGAGCCGTGATCATGCCACTGCACTCCAGTCTGGGCGATGGAGTGAGACCCTGCCTCTAAAAAGTAAATAAAATAAACGCCTCCATCCCTCATACGGGGTCCCATAGAGCGCCCATCCCGCTCTTGAGACAGGGCGGAATAAGCGAGAACTCCCTGAGCTAACTCAGCAGCAGGCTGCGGCACAGGCAGCCTTCCGGGTTCCGTCTCCCCACACTGCTCTCATCACAGTGTGAGTCACCTGTGTTGCCACTGTCTGGTTATGCCCTGTTATCCTCGTAGCACCTGGAGTTGGGTCTCCAGCAGTGCTGGGTCCCTCATGCATTCTTGGTGCCCAGTCCAGAGCAGCTGCTCAGTAGCCATTTGTTGGACATAGACGTGCACGTAAACATGGGTGTTGGTGAAACAGACATTCTCAGGTGTAGAGTCCCTGACTCGGGAGTAGGGGAAGAAGTAGGAATGATTCACAGAAGCCTCCCTTCTCTCTCCATCCTGGTGTCATCTGCCCTCCCCGCACCCATGCACCTGCAGAGGGGCATTGCGTCGCTGGAAAGAGAACACCATGGCCCGAGTGGATGAAGCCAAAAAAACCTTTCAAGCAAGTGCTCATTACAGAAGGACCATATGTTCCAAGGTGAGGTATAAGGAGGCAAGCTGGTCACCCAGGAGAGTTGGGGACTGTGTTCTGGTGAGGGCGTGGGATGTAGGGGGTGGTGCCAGAGATTTGAACTGAATAAGGAACCTAGAAATGGGTAACTTTCCTCCAGCACACACACAAACACCCATGTGGGCACATGTTTAGTTTTTTACTGAATTACAAACTAATATGCATTAAAATAGAAACATAACACATCATAAGTGAACTAGTTCTTATCAGAACCAGTATTTTCTTTTCTTTTTTTTTTTTTTTTTTGAGACAGAGTCTCACTCTGTCACCCAGGCTAGAGTGCAGTGGTGTCATCTCAGCTCACTGCAACCTCCAATCCCCCAGGTTCAAGAGATTTCTCCTGCCTCAGCCTCCCGAGTAGCTGGGACTACAGGCGTGTGCCACCATGCCCGCCTAATTTTTGTGTTTTTAATAGAGGTGGGGTTTCACCATGTTGGCTAGGCTGGTCTTGAACTGCTGACCTCAGGTGATCCACCTGCCTCAGCCTCCCAAAGCGCTGGGATTACAGGCACTTTGAATCCAGGAGGTGCAGTGAGCCAAGATTGCACCACTGCACTCCAGCCTGGACAACAGAGCAAGATTGTCTCAAAAAAAAAAAAAGAAGAAGAAGAAGAAAAACTCCGGAGCTAGCCTGTGCCTCCCTTCCCCTGGAAGAGGATCACAGGAGTCTTTGCTTGGCTCCAGAGCTTGAAGAGGAGGCCTTTTTGGTGGGAATGGAGTTCATGACGCTTGCGGAGCAGGCACCAGGCATCCCCAGGGCAAGTGTTTTGTGATTGTGATTTTATAGGCATCACTCATACAGAAGAATGTATACAATGTATGTGTGTTCCATTTACTAAACAGTAATAGAGGCCGGGCGCCTATAATTACACGCCTGTAATCCCAGCACTTGAGGAGACTGAGTCGAGTGGATTACTTGGGGTCAGGAGTTTGAGACCAACCTGGCCAACATGGAGAAACCCTGTCTCTACTAAAAATACAGAAATTAGCCGCGCGTGGTGGCACATGCCTGTAATCCCAGCTACTCGGAAGGCTGAGGCAAGGCTGAGGCAGGAGAATCGCTAGAACCTGGGAGGCGGAGGTTGCAGTGAACCAAGATCACGTCACTGCACTCCAGCCCAGGTGACAGAGCGAGACTATGTCTCAAAAAGAAATTATATAAATAAATAAAATAGAATGAAGACCCATGTATGTAATGACTTCACTACTTGATGGCAGGGTATGATATGAAAATCCTGGTAGAAGAGTCCCAGCAGCCGAGATGCTGGGCTTCCTGTGAGGGGCTGGGGCCCCGTCCTATTGCTCAGCGGTCTGCGTGCATGGCAGTTACTTCCTGGAGCGTATGTGAGAAGCAAATGGCAACAGCTTGGCCTTGCCTCTCCAGGAGCCACCATCACAGACCTGGGGTGGCCCCAGAAGCCAGGAGGCGTAGTGACTTGCTGTGCTCCTTGCCTGCCCATAGGTCCTGGTCCAGTGGCGGGAAGCTGTGTCAGTGCAGATATATTACCGACAGCAGGAGGACTCTGCCATCTGGGAGGCCCGGAAGGTGCTGGACAGGGGTAAGTGGGGCCCCCAGAAGCAAGTCGTGTTGAGGAATGTGACGACACCACTGTTGTGGAGGTCCCTGTGGCCCCCATAAGTCTGTCTCCTCCTCATACATGCCAGTTGCCAGTGGTTGCCATGACAAAGTACCACAGACTGGGAGTCTTCAAACAACACAAAATTACTCTCTCAGTTCTGGAGGCTGGCAGTTAGAGATCAAGGTGTGGCAGGGCCGTGCTCCTCCGCAGGCTCTAGTCCTTCCTTGCCTCTCCCAGCTTCTTTCTTGCTTGTCATGGCTCTCCTGGACGTGCAGACCCATTGCTCCAGTCTTTGCCCCATCTTGACATGCCTCTCCCTTCCTGTGTCTGGGTCCCTTAGAAGGACTCTGGTCGTATCAGATGAAGGACCCAGCCTACTTGAGTGTGACGCCATCCTTGCCAATTACATCCGCAGCCAGCCTAGTGCCAGATAAAGTCACATTGTGAGGTTCCAGGAAGGGCATGAATACAGCAGGTGTGGAGTGGGTACTGTTCAGTCCAGTATATCTTAGAAATGTATTACCAACTGATTGCCAACCAGTTTATGTTAAAATGAAAGGCTGGCGCTTGAGATCTACAGAGAAATAAAAGAAGCTGGAATGGAGGAGTTTGGGGTGGTTGCAGGGGTTGTTTTGACAGGAAGGTCCTTGCCGCTTGTCAGGTCAGCCTCCACTGTGTTAGCGTCCTGCTTCCTTGTGTAGCTGGGCCCTTGAATGTTTAGGGGCCAGAGACATTCTCATTCGATCTCAGGAAGTCCCACTGCCTGCTGTATATACATTTTTGGAAAGATTGCAGGGCACAGTGGTACACACCTGTAGTCCTAGCTACTCGGGAGCCTGAGATGGGAGGATCACTTGAGCCCAGGAGCTGGAGGCTGCACTGAACTATGATCACACCACTGCACTCCAGCTTGGGTGACAGAATGAGACGCAGTCTCTCTCTTTTTTTGAGACAGTCTCACTCTGTCGCCCAGGCTGGAGTGCAGTGGCACGATCTTGGCTCACTGCAACCTCCACCTCTTGGGGTTCAAGCAATTCTCCTGCCTCAGCCTCCTGAGTAGCTGGGACTACAGGCGTGTGCCACCACACTGGGCTAATTTTTTGTATTCTTAGTAGAGACGGGGTTTCATCGTGTTAGCTGGGATGGTCTCGATCTCGTGACCTCGTGATCCATCCATCTCAGACTCCCAAAGTGCTGGGATTACAGACATGAGCCACCATGCCTGGCCAAGACCCAGTCTCTTTTAAAAAATCTTTGGAAAGAGTCTAGAACAGGAGTCCATGCCCCTGCTTGCAAGTTGCACAGACACACGGCAGAGCCGTGGGGAGCTGTCTCCTAACAGCCAGCGGTCCCATAGCAGGAGAATCTGACACGCTGAAGGGGACAGCTCATTTTTAGAATAAATGAAAATACAAAAGTGAAAACAATTAGAAATTGTTTAAATTGGCCCATAAAGAAATTGACCAAGTTGTTGAGTTGGTTTACAAGAGTTTGCTCCAGGACAAAACTGCACCAGCTTTGGTTTGGTTCTGACTGTAGCATGTGTTAATGAGCATGTTTCAACAAGTCCTAGCGGCAAAACCCCGGGCTCAGCCATCCCACACGGCTGCATTACTGCACCACGAATGTGCTGCTGGGTCCTGGAACTCAGCTCAGAAACCAGCACCGTGTTTCTAGTTCACTAAGAAAGAAGCTGAGGGCTTAAGCCAGTCCTTGGGCTCTGGAGCTTCTGCGCCTGACCCTTTGGGCACCTGACCGTGCAGCTTCAAGCTCCAGAGGCTTCTGGCCAGTTTGGGTCGGCTGCCTTAAGGGTCAGGTGCCCACTCCTGGCCGTGGTGGGAAGTTACAGGCTACGGGTTTGAGTTTTGCCCGAAGCCGCTGCTCTCTGAAGGACTTTCCTTAGAAGGAGGCAGTGGCAGGTTTGGATTGCCACGTCCATTACAGATGGTGTGAGACATTTGGGAGACTGGGCAGCAAGAGAGTATACATGTAGTAGGTACACAGTAAACACCTGAGGAACAATTGCCTGGCTTATATTAAGGCCTCAGTGTCTCAGGCACACCTTGGCAGGCCAAGGGTGGGGCTGGAGGAGGGACTGGGGGGAGGATGTCACAAGACCCATTATGCAGGGTGCTGAAGAAGCGCAGGCTGGCGGTCATAACCTGGCTCTGCGTGTGGCCTCCAGCAGGGCCCCTCTCTGAGTCTCAGTGTCTTCATCTGTAAAATGGGGATAATAGTGCCTACCTCTTGGGGTTGTTGTGGAGATCAACCGAGATGACAGGTAGAGAGAGAGACACTTAGAACAGAGCCCAGACGTCAGCATGCAGCACTAACATGGGTGCCTCCCGCTTGTGATCTGCCGCCTTCTCTGTCTGCGCCGGTGGGCCTGGAGGGCTCCTCATCTTGGCATCTGTGCCCTGCTCTCAACCCTGTTCTGTTGTCTCAAAAAGAAAGTTCTCTCAGGGCCCAAGAAAGATTCACTCAAGGGAGAATCTTGTGACACAAAAACAAAAGGCAGGATGTGGCTCGTGCCTGCAGAACCCCGGGGGCCAGAAGACGTGGCCTGGCGACCAGCGCACTCCTCCCCAGCCACGGCTCGGGCTGCTCTGACTGCTCTGACTGGGCCTTGGTTTCCACCCTGGCCAAACAGGCTGCCCTCTCCTCCAGCTGCTGCAGCTCAAGTGGGGGCTCCTCCTCCCTCAGACTGAGGCTCTTCCTCCGCGCGCCTAGCACATTTTGCACGTGACTCTTACGGGGGCCCCGGCACCCCTGTGGAGGCTGTGGACAGGCTTGTGGCTCTGGGAGGGCCCTTGGGGAGCACAGTGGTAAACAGATCTGGTTCCAGTCCCTGGGGGGTTCACTGTTGGCAAAGGTGGCCAGAGCTGTCCCTAGAGAGGGGCCATGGTCCACACGTGGTAGTTGCACCGTGTGGGCTGGACACCTGGACTCTATCCCCGCACAGCCATCTCTCCTCTCTGCACCTTCACCATTATGTAGTCACTGGTGGAAATCCCACAAAACAGCAAACTCTGACTTGGATCTAGGCTGTCTGCGGACCTGGTTTCAGCGCTGGCGGGACTGCAGCCGGAGGTCAGCCCAGCAGAGACTGCAGCTGGAGAGGGCAGTCCAACACCACCGCCGACAGCTGCTGCTGGAGGGGCTGGCCCGGTGGAAGATGCACCATCTGGAATGTGTCAGGAAGAGGGTGAGGCCGACAGTGGCAACTCTCCAAGTTCCACCTGCTTGGCAAGGGGTGTCCAGGCCAGGAGACCGTATCTCAGGAAGGGTCTCTGCTGACAGCACTCCATGCAGCCAGTGTGAGTGGTGGGTGGTTTGGGGTCCTGTAGGACAAGGCTGCGGGAGCCTTTCTGGGCATTTGGTGGAGCCTAGCGGGTAGCCAGCCCCAGAATCCAGTGTCTCCCAGAGAAGACAGCTCAGCCTAAAAACCCGGTTCCTGCTGACCCGCGGCTTATCAGTGCTGGGGGACCTACGGAGTGAGTCCTCTAGGTGCCCCCTGCCTCCCCCCTGCCTCTCCCTGCCTATGCAGGAGACCCCTGGCACCATCCAGGACTCCTAGCAATGGGAGGACATTCAGCTGGGCAGAGACTGGGTTAGATCAGGACCCACCGCAGGCTGTCTAGGCTAGGTCAGGACCCCACTCTGTGCACTTGCTCTCCCCTAGCTCCTGCACAGGCAGAGTACCCAACTGCTGGCACAGAGACTCAACCGGACCTGCTTCCGCCAGTGGAGACAACAGGTGGGAACCCGGGAGATGTGCCCTCCATACTTCCTTCTCTGTCCTCTGGCGTGTGAGGCCTGGGCAATGAGTGACCTTCGGCTTACACCTCTAGTTCAGTATTTTTACTATTGCCCTCCCCAGGGCCACCTCCTTTACCACCTTCCTGTCATTTCCGAGCACATCAGCTTTGTTCCATCTGTAGCCTGCGTAAGACCAGTTACTTCAAGGCCTGGTTTCTCTTTCTACAGTGTTGTATTAAAAAATACATCAGTGGAGGCTGGGCACGGTGGCTCACGCCTGTAATCCCAGCACTTTGGGAGGCCGAGGCGGGCGGATCACAAGGTCAGGAGATCGAGACCATCCTGGCTAACACGGTGAAACCATGTTTCTACTAAAAATACAAAAAAATTAGCCAGCCATGGTGGCAGGCGCCTACTCGGGAGGCTGAGGCAGGAGAATGGCGTGAACCTGGGAGGCAGATCTTGCAGTGAGCCAAGATCACACCGCTGTACTCCAGCCTGGACGACAGAGCGAGACTCTACCTCAAAAAAAAAAAAAAAAAAAAAATACATCAGTGGGCCAGGCATGATGGCTTACACCTATAATCCCAGGATTTTGGGAGGCTGAGGCAGGAGGATTACTTGAGCCTAGGAGTTCAAGACCAGCCTGGGCAACATAGTGAGACCCCATCTCTACAAAAACAAAACAGAAAAATTAGCTGGGTGTAGTTAGTGCACACCTGTGGTCCAAGCTACTCGGGAGGCTGATGTGGGAGGATCGCTTGAGCCCAGGAGGTCAAGGTTGCAGTGAGCTGTGATCATGCCACTGCACTCCAGCCTAGATAAGAGTGAGATCCCATCTCAAAATAAATCAACCAATAATAAAAATGAAAAAAAAAAAAAAAAAAAAAAAAAAATCAACATAATTTTTTAAAAATTAAAATGAAATATGTTTTAAGACTTGCTGGGATCTTGCTAAAAAGCCAAGAGGGATCACGCAGAGCAGCACCCACACGTCCCCAGCTCCCTCTTCCCGTCCTGTTGTGTTCTCACCGTTCCCCAGACCCCAGGCCAGTGTCTCCACACATCCCCCTGCAGGAGCCCTTTGCCACCTTCTTTCCTAAAGGTCCTTCCTCAGGCCACAGATGGAGCGTCTATTGAGCACCTCATGGCCAGGCACAGGGCTGGCCCTTCCTAGTGGAGGAAGTGGGAGCCTCAACTAGAGAGGGAGCCCAGAGGGACGATCCAGGCAGGGCCCCTTGATCAGCACAGCCTCCCTGAAGGGGCAGCAGGGAAATGATCTGGTCTTTCTGGCCCTAGCTGGCAGCCAGGAGGCAGGAGCAGCAGGCGACAGTGCGGGCCCTGTGGTTCTGGGCCTTTTCGCTGCAGGCAAAGGTAATTGTGTTTCTGCATCCTACCATCCCTGCCTCTCCCTCAGGCCTTATCCCTGCCTTGGAGGGAGGGCACCTGGTCTGTGGGGGACCCCTAAACAGGGAGATCTGGGCCTCACCTCCCGCCCTCCCTGGAGGTGTGGGCCACGTGGCTGGCCTTTGTACTGGAAAGGAGGAGGAAGAAGGCGCGGCTGCAGCGCGCGCTCCAGGCCTACCAGGGGCAGCTCCTCCAGGAGGGTGCCACACGGCTCCTGCGCTTTGCAGCCAGCATGAAGGCCTCCCGGCAGCAGCTGCAGGCCCAGCAGCAGGTCCAGGTAGGCCCAGGGCCCCTTCCTCTGGGGAGCAGGCAGGGTGTGGCACGAGCTGACCAGAGGCTGTGTCGCAGGCGGCTCACAGTCTCCATCGTGCCGTCCGCCGCTGTGCCACGCTCTGGAAACAGAAAGTGCTGGGCCGGGGCGGGAAGCCTCAGCCCCTGGCAGCCGTCGCACCCAGCAGGAAGGTGACATTTGAGGATCCCCTTCTCAACTGCATTGCCACTGGGGCTGGGGATGCCACCGTGGGGACCAAGAGGCCACAGGCTCCTCTGCTTCAGGGAGCTCTGGGCCGCCTGGCTGCTGAGGAGCCCCACGCCCAGGAACTGTGAGTAGCCCGTCCTCACCTCATCCTCCTCGCTTCCACCCTGGGCAAAAGGTTGGATGGCGTAGCAGGGAGGAAAACTGGGCCCTGACGGGGGACAGGACGGGCTGGCCTCGGCCTTGTCATAGCTGAGCTGCTGGGAATCGCCTCTTCTCCGGCCAGACCCCATCCCTCCCCCGGCAAGAGAGAGTGGCGTGGGATTTCCAGACCCTCTCTCCTTTGCCTGCCAAAGTTCAGGAAATAGGTGTCCCTTCCTCTGCAACCCCTTCCTCCCCTCTCGCCCGTGCTGCTGACAGTCTTCCGGAGTCACACCCATAGCTGACAAGGGAACAAGCTCAGCCCTGCCCGTGCCTGCTGGCCTCTCTTCTGCTCCCTCACAGCCAAGACACTGGTTTTTTGTCAGAAGCCCCTCTTTCTTGTGTGGGCTGGCACCCATCCCTCTGCCCGCCCCGACTGTGGTCTCCTCAACCCCTAACCTGCCCTGCCCTATGCTGATGAAGCTGGTGGCTCCCACAGCAGCCAGCACTACCCGAGAGCCTTGGGCCCTGGGGGAGTTGTCAGGTGGGTGCATGGGGCCTGGGTCCCGGTCGCTGCTCTGCCCCTCACTGACTGACCTTGATGGGAGCCTGAACATCTCAGAGGCTGCTCCCCTGTGACATGGACCCTGGCGACCTGTACACCTGCATTACCAGGGTTGCTCTGCAGGTCAAAAGAGACAATGTGGGTGAAGCAGTCCCCCGGCGCCAGGTACCTTTTGTCAGAACTGCTGGGAGCTCTGTGGCCCAGGCCACCCCAGCTTACTTGCTGACCTTGGCCTCGCCTTCTCTGACCTTCGGTCTCCCTATAAAATTGGAGGGGTCTGACTAGCGACCCCCATCCCACAGAGATCTCAGACCCCCCTGCAGCCCCTGGTCAGCCCAGGGGAACAGACCCCATGTTTCTTCCCAGCAACACTGCCCACTCAGCGAGGAAGCAGCCGCGACGCCCACACTTCCTGCTGGAGCCTGCGCAGAGCCAGAGGTCCCTGGGGTGTGGCACCATGGGCAGGCAGGGGTAGGTGGTCAGGGGGCCCCAAAGGCAGCTGGCGCCTCCATCTGGGGCCTGTGTTTTGGCAGTCCTGGGGTGGGTGGCCCTTTCCTTCTTGTTCCTTGGTCCCAGAGGAGGGTCCTGTGGCCTGACCAGGCTCTTGCCTTCCCTGTGCTCAGGCCTCAGAAGCCCAAGGAACATGGCCTAGGTATGGCTCAGCCAGCAGGCCCCTCCCTGACGCGGCCCTTCCTGGCAGAGGCCCCGACAGCACAAGTCCCACACAGCCCTGGGCCTGGGGCCCTGTCAAGCGCCCCTGGCCCAAAGCAGATCCGGACGGCAAGCACAGGCCCGGAGCTGCTGCTGCTGCCTCCTTCCTCCTTCGTGCCCTGCGGGGCAGCTGCACCAGCCAGGGTACGTCCTCCACCACCAGGCCTGGGAGCTGGGGCTCTCTCTTTGGTCTGGCTTCTGGTGCTCCTTCTCATACCATAGCTGTACTCATCATTTCTGGAAAACCTTGGCACAGGGAGGCCACTCATCCATTTGACAAGCATAGGTAGCCACTACACACCAGGTCCAAGGGCCACAGCAGTGAACAGCCAGCCAAGGGCCCTGCCATCCTGAAGCGTATGTTCTAGTCAGAGACAAGCAAAGAAAAGCCCCTGCCTGCAGGCCAGTGACGTGGCTGCAGATCACGTAGGGTCCTGCAGCCACGGTGAGAAGCAGCCTGGGATTTGAGAAGAGGAGGAAATCGGGGAAGGGTTTTGGCAGGGAGCACCATGGCAGGTTTCTGTGCAGGCTGTGGTCACCGTGACCTTGTGGTCCAGACAAGCAATACTGGTGGCCTGGGCTCAGCGGTTGCCATAGAGGGGACGGATACTCTCTTGGCGGCCAACGAGGCAGGATATGCTCTGAGGGATTTGCGGAGTGAGGGGGAAGAAGGAATCCAGGCTGATTTGGGCTGCTGGCTTGAATAACTTGGGGAACAGAGTTCTTAGACTGGAAGAAGGAACTGGGGGTGGGGACTGGTTTGGGCTGAAGCGTCAAGAGTGTTTTGAACCAGGTTCTTGATGTCAAACTTGAGAGAAAGCAAACATTGAGTCTGACCTTCAAGGAAGAGGTCAGGGCCAGAGATTGAGAAGAATCCTCGGCACAGGCCGAAGGTAACCCCAGAGCCGCTGCGGCCTCTAGGAGTAGTACAGGGGAAGGAGAGAGGGGATGAGCCTCCAAGTGGGGAGCCTGGGCAGGGATGGCCAGGGGGTGTGAGAGCTCAGTAATGGAGTGACAGCTGCTCTCAGGCCACCAAAGCAGCTGGTTCCTGAATGGGGATGAAGGGGCAGGAAGGAACCAGTTCCTGTGGTGAGTTAGGCCTTGTGGGGCCACTTACCCTGGCTGGAATGGTGTGTGGGGTTGGAAGGGTTTTGAGCCCTGTCGGGTGATGGAAGGGACAAATCCACTCTCACCAGGAGAGGAGGGCATGGAGGAGGCTGTAGAGCGCTGGACTCTCACTCACCACTTCTCACTGACGTCGAAGCTCAGCAAGGTCATGAGCTCAGAGCAAGGCGGGGGTGGAGTTGGGTAAGGCTAGGAACAGCTGCTCAGGTGGTGGAAGCGCGAGGCAGACTGTGGTGACACGTGGTGCTCCCTGGTGGCTTGTGGGACTTTCTCCTACAATACCAGGTCCTGTGTGCAGGGGCAGGCTCGACACTGGATGAGCTAGCACGGCCAGTGCCTGGGAAGCCCAGCTCCTGCAGCTGGGGGCCTGGTCTTCCCCCACCCCTGCAGGGCAGGCAGTGACAAGGACTTGGTGTCCCCCTCCCCGGCTTCCTCCTGGCTTCCCTGCTGATCATCCACCCTTCTTTCCTTTGCAGGCGTCAGCACAGCCGGCTACTCCTAGGGATAAGCCCCAGGTCCCCCCATCCCTGGCCAGTGTCCCTGACCCCCATCGACTCCTTCCTGGGGACTTCTCAGCCACCAGGGCTGGGCCTGGGCTTTCAACTACAGGTGTGTACCTGGGGCCTGTCAGGGCAGAAAGCACTCAGGCCACTCCCGGACCTGGGACTTGCTATTTACCCTGGTCCCAGAGGGGAAAATGGTCTGAAACAAGCTTACTTCTGTCGCCATAGGCAGCCTGGACCTTGAGGCTGAACTTGAGGGGATCCAGCAGCAACTACTGCACTACCAGACCACCAAGCAGAACCTCTGGTGAGCCCTGCGAAATGCCCTGCGGCCCTGGCTACAGGAGCAGGTGTTGCTTGGAAAAGTGGGCGGGCAGTTCCATTTCCCCTGAGCCAGCTGCCAGGGTCCTGTGGGTGGTCTTGGTCTAGCTACGGAGGGGTGTGGGGAGCCCTCAGTGTGTGCTGTCCAGAAAGGCCCCATCTCCATCATGACTCTTGACCTGGCTTGGTGCTGCTTAGGAAGGCCCCAGTCAGCCTCACCTATGGACAGAGGCTCTGCTTCCTATGGGGGGATGATAAAGTTGAGCAAAACTCTAAAAACTGGATGAGGCCATGCTGTCCCCAGTGACTAATTATAACACTGATATTAAAGGTGCAGAGAAGGGCTGGGTGTGGTGGTTCACGCCTGTTCCCAGCATTCTGAGAGGCTGAGGCGGGCGGATCACGGGGTCAGGAGTTCAAGACCAGCCTGGCCAATATGGAGAAACCCTGTCTCTACTAAAATACAAAAATTAGCTGGGCATGGTGGTGCACGCATGTAGTCCTAGCTACTTGGGAGGCTGAGGCAGAAGAATTGCTTCAACCTGGGAGGCGGAGGTTGCAGTGAGCCGAGATCACGCCATTGCACTCCAGCCTGGGCGACAGAGTGACACTCCATCTCACAGAAAAAAAAAAAAGTGCAGAGGAGACAGGCCCGAGACCCACTGCACTCAGTGGTCTGGGGACCATCATCATGCAGCAGCTTCAGAGCTTTGACAGCAACAGACTCTGGCGCCTCACCCTTGCCTCTGCACAGGGGAAGAGAGACAAGAAGTGTGTTTTCGCCCAGGCCCACCTGAGTTGCTGTCTGCTAGGGAGGGCGGAGGAGACTGGGAGAGGAAAAAGAAGTGTTCGGCTCCCAAGCAGGGGCCTGCAGCTCAGGTCAGGGGCCCTACCAGACCGTCTTTCTCTCTGCACCCGATGCCCGCATCAGAATTAGCTGAGGTGCCGCTCTCTGAGCCGGATGGGGCTCTGCCAAGGACCCAGCCTGGCAGGCAGCAGGTATCTCCACCCCTCAGGTCCTGTCAGCGGCAAGCGAGCAGCCTGCGCAGGTGGCTGGAGCTGAGCAGAGAGGAGCCCGGACCTGAGGACCAGGAAGTAGAGCAGCAGGTGCAGAAAGAGCTGCAAGAGGTGAGGCCCGAGGCCATCCCCAGGTGTCCGTAGGGACGCCCCGGGCTGTGTTCCCTCTCAGCCCTGGCTGTCCCTCTCTGGCCCCAGGTGGAACTGCAGATCCAGCAGCTGGCAGAGGAGCTCCAGGCTCAGCGCCAGCCCATTGGCACCTGCATTGCTCGCATCCAGGCCCTGCGGCAGGCCCTGCGCTAGCGTGTTTGCCCCCGGGATGCAGGTGCTGGGCTGTCGGGGAGGCCTCAGGCCACCTCCAGGAACAGAACACAAAGTTATAAGTTTTATTTTTTTATTTCAAAATGTTTTGCCATTAAATGAATTACTGTTCAGAAGTCTCCCACTTCTCATACAAAAATACTGTGCTACTGATACAGTTGAAAAAGTTCAGTGATGGCTCTCCTGCAGGAGAAATTCACAGCGTCCCCAGGGTCAACATGAACTCTGGCCCTGTCCCCGCCATCGGGGGCTCCCCAGGCACGCATTCCTGATAACTGGGACAGGTTTTCCAGGCACTGACCGACTATCCACCAAGGGCCCTCTGCCTCCCAGACAGACCCTGAATCAACAGCAGCAACTTTCCCACATTTCATGTAGGGATATGGGGAGGACAGGAACTCTCCCCTGTCCCCAGCTGGGCCTACCACCTGCCTGCCCTGTTCATTCTGGTGCCATGAGGCAGGTTCAGTGATTAGTCTTGCCTGCTGCAACGAGGACCTGACCAGCTCCAGAAGGTCACTCATCAGGTCCTACAGAGGTCTGTATCATTAATCAGTGTCCTCAGAAGACACTGGCAGAGTCCAGGGTGATGCATTCAGCCACAAGCACAAAGACTGCTTTTTCTAAAGAGCAGGATGAGGTGAATTTGGGAACAGAAAGCAGTTGTCATGAAGGCTGTGTGGCTCTGCTGGGGGAGGAGGCATCCACAGTCTGTGCCAAGGAGGCACCTCACCCTGTGCAGCAGGAGGGTTAAGGCCAAAAAACAAAAGGGGCCAACAGAAAACAGCCCAGGTGATGGGGAGGAGCAGCAAGAAAAAATGACAATCGAGACCAACTGAAGGTTCAGTCGGGAATGCAGGATCTCCCGTCTATACAGTGTTTAAAAAGATCCAAATGTGACAGATCATTCCAGCCTGCACTTTTTATTTGTAGGGAGAAGGAACAGGATAGGTTGAGGGCATGACAGGGGCTCTCACCACCTCTTGTCTGCACCTCCGGAACAGGTGGGAGCCGAGTCATTCAAGTCCTACCTGGTCAGACTCTCACCCACTCTGAGGCAGGCCCTCACCTGGATGGCCTCATGGGCCTCCCTCTCTAAAAGACCCTCACTCTGTTTGGAAAAGATCCCTTAGCAGCCATAATCAGGAAAGAGGCTCTAGAGCGAGCCCAGGGCCTCCCCAAAGCGGATTTTCTGTCCTGTTTTCAGCTGGAAATTGAAGTCCTTGGGGGCCTCAAAGATGAGAACAATGGTGGAGCCCAGGTTGAACTCGCCCAGGTGCTCGCCCTTGCGCATGGGGACGCCCTCTCTATTGGTGTGCGTCACGAAGCTGAAGTCGTTGTAGGAGCCCTTGCTGTGCCTCGGGCTGTTTGTGTGCAGGTCCTGTGGTGATAGGCTGGGAGTCAGCGGGGCCACCAAGTGCACAGTGTCACCCCACATGTGTTTGGAGTCCCACCCACTCCCTCTGTTGCTTGTCCCCACCACCACCCAACCCAGCTCCAAAAGGGAGGTGGGGATGGCATCTCAGGGCCAGGTGGGCCCAGTCTAGCCAGATCTCACACACGGCATTGACGCCTGCTGTGAACTAGGCCCAGGAAAGACGGAACAATCGGACCCAGTGGTTTCCATGCGTGGTGCTGGGAGAGTGGCACCTGTGGGAGCCAAGGCCGCTGATCACAAACTGACACCCAAAAAGGCAGCCCCTTGGGACAGGGTGGGCAGCAGGCCTGCGAGTGCTGACCCCCTCACATGCTGTAACCAACATAAGCCACCCCGAGCTCAACGCTCCCTTTCTGTTCCCTCCTCACTCTCACCTTTGACCATGGTTCCTAGCAGAAACCAGGTGCCAGGCAAGGAGGTTAATTCCCTCTATCTCTTCCAGCCAATGGTGCAAGAAGGGAGGGAAGCCTCAGCTGGCTGGCAGGTGGAGCGGCCCATTCTCAGGACAGCTGTTAAGCAGAGCCACGCCTGACCAGACATTTGGCCGCCCTAGAATTCAGTCCCAACCCATCCGCCGCACAGCAGACAAGGCAGGTAGACCCAAGAGGTCCAGCCCTTGGGCTTTGGCAGGGCCTACACTCTGCTTACCCGGTCAAAGTAGATGCGAATGGAGCCCACGTTGGTGGCCCCCACAGCCGTCAGTGAGAAGAAGCCATGTTTCCAGTCCCCCGTCAGGACTACCCGCTCATTGTGGCAGAAGAGCTCTTTGATCCAGCGAGCCATGCCAGGGTTCACTGACATCAGGGAGCCTGCAGAGGCAGGGAACGCTGCTACTCCCTGTCCAGAGCCCAGTGTGTCCACTCCAGGGCAGCCAAGACCCAAAGGGACTCATGGCCTGTTGCCCTGATGTCATTTCCAAATGCTGAGCCGAGTGGGCCCCATGGTCCCCGGCCCACAACCAGCCTGCATAAAGCAGTCAGCTCCTGGCCTCGATGGCCCTGACCTGGAGCCTGGTCCCCTGACACCAAGAAGCTGAGAGCCTCTATGTGAAGCCCACAGAGGCAGCTCCCCCCACACGCTGGCCCCAGGCTGACCTGGGAAGTGGCGCCGGTGGGACACAGTCCAGTCCGTGGGGGAGTGGAAGCAGTGGTAGTCCCCGGGGGCCAGGTAGATGACACAGTGATAGAGCTCATTCCCTTCCCGGGTGACCAGCTGGTTCTTGAAGGAGTCACACGAGGCGGCTGTGGGGTAGGAGCAGACATGGGGGCCACCAACACAGTGAGCACCCAGCACGGAGCCCGAGTGCGGTCTGCACATGGATTCTCAGGGAGGCCCCACATGCCAGCCTCAGCTCCTTCCCCAGCATTCCCCTCCCTCCCGGTCCAGCCACACAACAGCAGGGCTGCCTGGCCCCGCCTGTGCAGTGACCCACCTGGCGGGAAGGGCAGGTCCTCTGTGTAGGTGCGTGGGCCCAGGAACGACTCCAGGGAGTAGGTGACCCCCTTTACCTGCTCCACCTCGCAGTTCTTCACCTGCCCAAAGTTGAGGATCTTTCCATCCGATGGGCTGATCTGGAAGGACAGAAGAGGCTTGCTGCCAGGGAGAGCAGGGTCTCCTCCCCCCAGAAGACAGCCCCCACCTCCCCTTGTCATCCTGCTGCTTCCAGATATGCTGGAGACCAGGGGGCTGTGCTGGGCAAGTGGAGTCCCAGCTGTGGAGGCAGGAAAAAGTCCTGTTTCCCCCAGGAGGAAAGGATCGGGCCTCACCACACTGTGCAGGCCGCAGACGGGCCGGGCCTGCGGCTTCAGCTTGCGCCGGAAGAACTCGCTGAGGTTGCGGTAGTGATGCAGGTCCTCCACGGCGGCCTCCTTCATGTTCACCCCGAAGGTCCAGATGTACAGGCTATAGACAGGCCTGCGCAGCCAGTGTGGCAGCTCCACCTGGTTGAGGCGACCCCAGGCCCGTGACAGCAAGCGTGTCGGCACTGACTTGTACAAAGCCACCTGCAGGCCACAGGGCAAGGGGCTGAGTTGACCACACTGCCCCAGCTCCAGAGAGCCCAAGTACTGTCATGAGCCCACATCTCACTTCAGGAGAGAATCTGCACCCCACGGAGGACACCAGGGCCCAGGTGCCCCACGCTGCTTTTGTGATGTGGCTGTTTCTCACTGGGAACCAGATTGCACCTGCCAACTCCTGCCACACACAGTGCTGGATTTACGTACAACTCCAGTGGTTTTCGCCATTTCATGCGAAAGTCTAATAGCAACTGCCCCAGTCCCAGAACGGGAGATGGCCAGCAGTCTTACTTCTTAAAGTGGGGGTCGGAAACGGATCTGACCCTAACCACAGTGTGTGACCCTAGCCACGGTGACCCCAGTATCACAGTATGTGGAGAGGTGGTTGGCATCTTGCCCTTGGTCACTGCCCATATCCCAGACCACCAGAGAAAGGAGGAGGCTCCCAAGTACGTGGAACAAGTCTACAGCCCAAAATGTGTCCCTCTGTCTTAACAGGAAGTGAGGAGGACACCCTGAGCACCAACATCAGGGATTTTCAGATGCAGGTCTGCGATGTCGCTGTCACCTGGGCCTGAGCTGCAGACACAGGGTCCGCAGCCCCCACAGGTCCAGCCAGCGCACTGAGGGCCTGGACGCAGCAGTCTGAGAAGCCCTGAGCCCCACCTCGGCCCCACAGCAGGACTTGTGTTCAACATTCTACTGTGACTGAGTCAGGCCATAAAGCTGTCTGCACCTGGGGTTCCTCCCAGGAGGCAAAGGGAGATCGTCCCCTCAGGCCCCTCTGTTCTCTCTTCCTTCAGGGAAGCCTGGAGCACCTGAAGACAGACGATGGCCTGAGGACAGGCACTGGGTCCCACTGGTTGGTCCCAGAGCCCTCCAGCAGGGCCAGGTACCCAGGAAGTGGCAGCCTGTTAGTGCTGCTGCCACTGTAGAAACTGCCTCTAATTGGTGGCTGCTGCTTCTCTAAACACAACCAAGACACCAACGCCCCAAGGTGTAAAAGTGGTTTCATTCCAACTTTCAACACCTCTGCAAGGTAAGGAATTAGCAGCTCCCAGAGAGCTGCTCTTATCCCTCCCAGCTGATTCCCAGTCACACAGAAGGGCTATGGGAGCCCAGGCCCTTCCCAGGCACAGGTGGGAGCCTGGGCTAATGTCCAGGGTACCTCAGTGCCCCTGAGCTCTGATGACACCAACCTGACAAAGGCCCAGGAACAGGGTTTCCTCCTTGGGGTCAACCTGCCTGGGAAGCCAAGGGCAAGAGTGAGCCCTCTAGGGGCCGGGAGGGGCCAAGCCAGTTCCCTTGACCATTCCTGGGGCAGGCCTCTGGGCTCCTTAAAGGTGTCCTCACCCTAAGGAACCCAAACAGGATCCATCCTTCCTGAACCACCCTTTGGCATCCCAGAATTAATTTGGCTTCCGCTCAGAATCACCGCTAAGCTGTTTTCTGCCTGAACACAGAAAAGTCAGAGACAGACGCCATTTTCTGAATCCCCAGGCTGGGTTCCTTCCAGAACCGGAGCCCCAAACGGCAGAAACGAGGCAGGCTAGGGGAGCGGGCAGGGCACGGCATGCCCTCGCAGTCACTTCCGCGGCCCAGGTAGTGGCCTTTTCAAAAGCTGCCCTGGCCTTGCCCACCAATGAACCTTCCAACCCTGACCCACTGAAGATGACCCTCTGCTTCTGACAGCTCACCGTCACCTCAGTCTCTCCTCACCCCAACCTCGGGCCTGCCCGGAGGGCAGGTCCGGGCCACAGGGCCCTGTGCACACTTACCCTGCTTACGGGCCTCCATCCCACCCGGCTGAGCGGTCTGAGGGCGCCGAAGGGCAGGAGGTAGTAGAGGACGGTCAAGGGCCAGGAGCGCAGTTTCAGGGCGGGTCTGGACATGCAGCTCAGCTGCCCCAGCCTCCGCCTCAGGGCCAGCTGGGGGAAGTGCAACCTGCAGGGCACAGGTCCATGCACAGCCAGGTCAGTGGCCAGGCTCTAGGCGGGACCCAGGAGACTGCTACCTACACCCAGGGCAGGATTCCTCCTGTCTACCCACCCTTGTTGGCAAGCTACCTTGCCATGGGGTGATGGAGCCCAGCAAACACTGGCTGTGCCCCCTTGTCCCAACCCCATTCTGAGTCAGGGGTTTGGCTGCCTCTGGCTAGCAGACTCATTTCCCAGGCTCTGCCACCCGCCAGCCAGCTGGGGAGGACTGGGAATGTGGGGGCAGCCGCAAGAGGAGAGTCAGGCCCAGCTGCGGGGTACCTCTCAGCCGCAGCAGCTCCCAGCAAGGGCCTCCAGACCCAAGTACCTGGGCCCAGGGAGGGGAGAGCAGGGTGCAGGGCCTGCCTCACATTCCTCAGCCTCCATGGCCCAGGAGAGCGAGCCCCAGGGGCCAGCTCTGCCACACAGGCACTGGCATGGCAGCGCATAGCACTGAGGAGCTACGACCCAGCCAGCTGGGTAACCATTTGCTCAGTCTTCTGCTACCATCCTTTGCAGGATCTGGGATATTCTTTTCATGGTTCCAGGCCCCCCTTTCCTCATCTGCTAAATTACGGGGCCAAGGCCAGACAAACTCTCAAAGGGAGCATTTACACCCCACCTACCAGCACCACATAGCTACGGTGCCATCCATCTGCATGGTCTTTCTGTAACAGGCCAGGTTCTGAAAACCCATCCACAGGTTTGTGAACAAAACCTCCCCACCACAAGCTCTCAAGCACCTGTCTGCTCTGCTGGGGCTGCACGCGCACACACACACACACCCAAGCCCCTCCTTTCAGCAAAGGTGGACACACACACACACACACACACACACACAAGACCCAAGGCCCCCCCCCTTTTTTGCAAATGTGATCCCGCCTCTCCCCACCCTCCCAGCACAAATGCAGGGCACTCAGCAGGGGCTCAGCTTCACCAGAGCCAGAGCAGAGGCTGGACGAGCCTTTCCACCACAACCCTGGCCTCCTGAGCAGAAACAAGGCCCACCCCACCCTGTCCGTGCCTAGGCCTAGCAAATGCTCCTGAGACCCAGGGTAGCCAGCAGGAGACCACACTGCCATCCACTCAGAACGTCCCCAGGCCTCAGTTTCCTCATCTGCAAAGTAACTGATTTGGCTAATCTACGGCTGCCATCTGGGACTGTGCTCTCTCCCAGTCGCCGAGCAAACCAAGGAACAAAGCGGCATCTCAGCTGATAGAAGCAGCAGAGCAGGAAAGGCAAACCAGCAGCGAACCCCGCTCAGGCTCAAGCTCAGAGGCGGCCGCATCTCCGCAGCTCCCGGGTGCCTGCTTTCTCTCCCATCCCACCCCGGTGTATTTTTAAAAGGTCCAGGAAGGTGGCAGGGGCCAAGCAAAGACAAATCACTGCTCCCCTCTGGCTTTGCCACCTGCCCCACTCACTGCAGAAGAGCAGGGACCAATCGGGAAGAGCTGCACCCCTCACGCGGGCAGGAAGGGGGATGGGGAAGCCTCTCTCCCAGGTGGGGTGCAGAGGCAAGGGTCTGGGCTGGGAGGAGGGGGCCTGGGAGCACCAGGGTAGGGAATATCACAGGCCTGAGGTCTGAGGCCCGCTGGCAGCCTCCCCCTGCTGGGCCCTCCTCGTGGTTGGAACCAAAGATACCTGAAGCGGGCTCTCCGACTCAGGGTGCTCAGGCCCCCCAGGCCGGGCCCCTCCAGCCTCGGGGGCTGACCACCAGTCCCCTTGCCGCCACCTCTACTGCGAGGCCGCTGGATGTGAACTCTGACCTTCCGGAGGTTGTGGCGGGGAACCGTGGGGTTAGGGCGCGGTGGGCAGCATCTCACCATTTCGCCGCACGGAGCTCTGGTCCTCGCCGCGCCTCTGACTGACACATCATGGGCCGGCACAGGGAGGGCGGGGCGAGGCTCACTCGATCACTCCCTTTGTTTTCCTCTTTCCTCCCCTTCCCCTGAGCCAGCGGATCTCCTGTGCTGTCACTGCTCCAGGGCCTCTGCCTCTGCGAGGCCGGTTGGTGGCGCCGCTTCCTGGGCTTGGTTCAGTCTTGGTGGCTCACAGGATGCAGATTAGAGGGTCAGGGCTATTGCAGACAGACAGGCACTAGTCACACACCTGCTCAGGTCACCTGCTCAGGGCTTGCAGCCCAGTGCAAAAGCCCCTGCACTGAAGCCCACTGTCCCCAGTCCTGGCCACCTGCCCTGTCCCTGCTACCCCGGGCTGAGCCAGCCTGCACTGCTCATCCTCTTCCTTAGCTGGCCTGGGGAGGCAGCAGGGGGCAAGGCCCTCAGGCTGCTGGGTCCAGTAAGCCATGACAGGGAGGGGACCAGCCACTGCTGCCAGGGTTTTCAGGCACCACTCAGTTCCAAACACACAAGGTGGGAACTTGAGCCCCATGCTCCAGGCCCAGGCCCAGGCCCAGGCCCAGCACTGCGTCAGCCGGTCTGCGATGTGGCCCCTCCCTTGCCAGGACCTGACCCATTTTCAATTCAGGTTACAAAGTAGCATCTGAGGAATGAGATGAGCGGGAAGCCACGAGAGGCGCCCTGGTGAGAACCTGGCATCTTACCTGCTGTGGCTCTCTCCTCACCCCTCCTGGCCTTGACCCCCGCCCCGCAACACACACACAAAATACCCAGCTCCCTGCTCCAGACCTTTCTCAGAAGCTGTGCATGTGGGGAAACCCAGCCTGGGGCTGGGAACAAGCCAGGACTGCAGCCCAAACCAGTTCCACTCCCCTTTTTCCATCTTTGCTTCAGAAAAGCATTTTGGCCAGGGGGGAGGACAGGCCCGGCCCCTACAAAGCCTCTCCACGTTGGCCTGCACAGATAGCGGAAGGAAGAGCAAACATGCCAAAGCTGCTGCTATCTCAGCCCAGGCAATCAAGGCCCTCCAGGATATGGGCTGACAGGGGGCCCACCCGTCCCGTCCTTCACCCCCAACCACTGCCCAGGAAGGGGGCAGGCACCTGTCACCATCCTTAGATGATGAAATGTGGCCCCAAGAGCTGCCGCCTAAAGCAAAGAATAGGCCAGACATGGCCAGCCTGCTGTGAGGCCGAACTCAGACATCACTGTGGTCACGCGTGGTCAAACACCTGACGCCCTGGCAAACCCTCCTCAGCCACAGAGGAGAAGATTCCACCCGGGCACCTGCCTGCTAGAGTCACCGAAGCCCCGGGTATGGGATTCAGTGGCCTCTTGGAGCCAGGACAATAAGGTGACTAAGCTCTGGACACAAGCATGGATTTCTCCACTGATCCAGGCAGTGGCTGGGGCTGGCCCAGGCCCCTCTCCTAAATGAGCGATGGGGACAGCTCACTGCAGGTGGGTCAGGCAGGAGGGCATCTACCCACCAGCAAACAGATACACACCAGCATCCTCCCTCGAGAAGATGCCGGCACCAGGAAATTGGCACAGGCACAAGAGGCCCATCCCATCGCAAGGCCCAGACCCACAGACACCCCGGCTTCAGCCCCAGGGTCCAGGCCTCCAGGGCTGTGTCACTCCAATCACTCCGCCAACATACTGAGCACACACCCCACCCTCCCTGGCCCAGCAGGCTCCATGCTGGCCTCCTGCCAGCTGCCAGGGAAACAGAGGGGTAACAGCAGTCAGGGGTGAGCCTGGTGCCTGGTTCCAAAGGGGAAGCTCTTTCCCTGGTGGATAGAGTGCAGGCTTGGAGCTGAGCTCACAGCCAGGATTCACAGGGAGGCAAGCATGGCCTTGAGGGGAGGCAGAGAGGAGGGGCCTTGGGGAACCCCAGCCTCCTGCCAGTTTTCCTCCCTGATCTACCATGTGGGACAGTGACCACCACAGCCCTGAATGTATCAGAAAGATGAACCCAGATGAACCTAGTTTGGCCAAAAACCTTGGGTTCTCAAAGCAGGTTCCCCTGTGAGCCTTGGCATTTCATTCTTCCATGGTGCTGTGAGGGGCTGGGTCTGGCCTCCAGTCTCAGAGGGGCCCTACTAAGGAATCGAGGCACATGAGGCCAGGGGCCAAGTCAGATGCCCATCAGGGAAAGGTGGGCCCTGGAGAGACTAAGAACGATCCTGAGAGGCCAGGCTGCGGCACTGCACCTGCTGGTGAGCCCAGTGAGGGCATGGGGTCCTTGCTCATTCAGATCCTTGACATCACTGTTCTGCCTCTTCTAAAACAGGCACCAAGACCAGGGTGTCAGTGCCTCCAAATTACCACCTGTGGGCCCCAAAAGATCGCCAAGAAGGAAAATGAATCCAGCTTTGCCACAGGACACAGGCTGAGCACTGCCAGTCCCTCTCAGAGCTGCAGGATAGAGGGAAGGGGCGCTTAGAGGTCGCTGCCTTCTTGCTTCCCAAGGGTAAAGCCAATTCCTTGGCCAGCAGTGTTTCTGGCCTCCCCATTTCAGAGCCCAGCTTGCCCTCTGCCTATGACAGCCCTGGAACCCCAAGCCAAAGATTTCATCCTTTCTGGCTGTCTTGAGGGTGACATGAGGTGGGAGCCTCAGGCTCTGGATGAGGAACTTGCAAGAAGGGTACCCAGAATGGAGGAAGCGCTGACACCTTCCCTCCCTTCTAAGCCTCAAAGACATTCTGTGGAGATGAGTTTAGGGTTGTGACCAATAGGACTTTAATGTCATTACATAGCCTAAGGGCCAGTCACCTGCAACATGAGAACTCAGAGGGTCTTGTGGCTGGTGACAACCCGGTCACTGCAATTCTGGCTGCCTTCCTCTACCCCTGCCCTGAGAGCAGGGAAAGGCCTTGGCAAGTCACAGGTACTCTCTAAGTCTTGGTTTGTACATCTGGAAAATGGGAAAGTAAATTCCTGCTACCCACTCCCTTGAGGCTCAGAGCACAGCTGCAACCATGGCCCAGAATAACTGCTCAGAAACCCCACTTCCACCCAGGAGCGTGACGCAGCCTCAGACCTGGCTTCCAACACCTCACCTCTCCAAAAACTCAACCTCACACCAGTGGAGGCAGGGGTTTCTACCACAGGAAAGATGAAATAAGAGGGGCTTAGGTGGCAGTTCTAACACAGGAACCCAAACTTGCGGGCAGTGACTGGCCTTGTGAGTAGGAAGCAATGGCTGATAGGACCCTATGGGGGGTGGGGAGCACCTTTGTCAGGACATGCTGTTCTGGGGATCCATACCAGAGCAGTAGGACAATGTCCCCACCCATCCCTCACCAACCAGGGTAAAGACCACAATACCTGCCCCCCCACCAGTGGAATGGAACATTCCAACTGAAGTGGATGAATGCACCCAGGCCAGGCAGCAGTTACTACAGGTTGGGTTGGGGCCTGCAAGCATGTTGTGCATGCAGGGGAGGTGCGTGTAGGTACAAGTATGTGTGCATGTATGATACGTGTGTAGGTGCAAGGGTATGTGCATGGAGGGGTGCGTGTATAGGTGTGAAGGTGCGAGGGTGTGTGTGGGGTGTGTAGGTGTGAGGGTGTGTGTAGGGGGTGTGTTAGGTGTGAGGGTATGTTATGCGTATAGGTGGTGTGTGCGTGTGAGGTTACGTGCATGGAGGGGGTGTGCATGGGTGCAAGGTGTGTGCATGTAGGAGCCATGTGTGTAGGTATGAGGGTGTGTGCATATAGGGGTGTGTGTGTGTAGGCGCGAGGGTGTGGGGTGTGTGCCTGTAGGGGTGTGTGTGAGGGGGTGTGTGCGTGTACGGGGTGTGTGTGTACGGGGTGTGTGTAGGTGAGGGGGTGTGTGCCGGTAGGGGTTGTGTGCGCGAGGATATGTGTGTGTGTAGGTCCGGGGATGTGTGTAGGGGTATGCGTGTATACACTTACAGTGCTGCTCCTGTTGGATTCTGGTTCAAGCCTTAGCAAGGCGGAGCAGGCAATGAGGGATATGGCACTGTCGCCTGCAGCCCCCAGTCAGCTCTGCCGGAGGATATGGAGCCTTGCAGCTTGTGTGTTCAGCCAGGAACCCTGAGAACTGGCTCCTGCTATCTGATGGGAAGCGCCTGGAGCGCCAGGACCACGCCTCTTGAAGCCTCAGCAGAAACCTCCAGGGCCCCAAATCCTGTGTCCAGTGGCCTGACTGCGGGCCGTACACTCCCCCCGGGAGGCGGGGAGCGAGGAGGGGGGCTGACTTTCTCCCCAGCTCTGCTGAGGCCGGGCCACCAGGCAGCGGCATGCGTCCAGTGGGGCGACAACCCTGCCTTCCCTGTGTTCCTGAGCTAGAAGTAGGCAAACTTTCCAACTAGGGGACGGGGAAAATGGTACTCCCTGGGCGACATGGACCAGGGAGCAAAGAGAAGGGCCCAGAGGCGCCTTTCAGCCAGTCAGTGGCAGGCAGCCCAGGAGGCTCTGGGAATACGGCAGGCAGGACTCGCAGGGGTCTGTCCTAGCCGCCCAAAAACAGGGAACCTCCTCTCAGACAACCCTGGGCGCTGAGGGGAACCGGCTCTGGGCAGAGGCAGCAAGCCTGCCACCCGCTCCCTGGCCCTCCGGCGCTGCCCTCTTCCCCAGGACCCTGCCCCCAGTCCCTCAGGCAGCGCGGAGGAGGAGACGGGAGCTCTGAGAGCCAGAGGCGCCCCAGCCCGGGCCCAGCCAATGCCAGCCGGCACCCCCTCACTTCCCACAGCCGCCTCACTGCCGGCGCCCTCCCCCACCCATACCCCCTCACTTTCCGCAGCCGCCTCACTTCCCGTACGCCCTTCACTTCCCGTACCCGCGCTCGGCAGGAGATGGACGTGGAGGAAGTGAGCTCACGCAGCCCGGGCCCGGGCTATGCCCACGTGGGAACGGAAAAAAGCCCACGACTCGCTCGACCCTGTCTGCAGGGCTCCTCAGGCCAGGCCGCGTCGTCGCAGCTGGGATAGCCCACCTGCGACCGAAGGCGCTAGAAGGGCATCCCCACCTGGCACTGGCTCTCTGAGAGGGCGGGGCAGGGCGCCTCCCTAAGAAGTCACCTGTGGCTCCCGGCCGGACCCGGGCGCCGGCTCCGCTCACTCACCCGCAGGTGGCTCCAGCTTCCGGGCTCCGACTCCCCAGAGGCGCTCCCGGAGCCGCGAAGCCTTGGGGCGAGTGGGCGGGGCTCGGGCTCCAGCCACTCAGACTACCAGGGCCGGGGGCAGGAGACCGACCCCAGCCACCCTTAAAGCCGCCGCTGCCTCTGAGCCCCAGTCCTGCTGGGCCGCCAGCCCAACCCGAGGGCCTCTTTAAGAGGAGGGGCCAAGACCAGGGAGAAGAGGAAGGGCAGCAGGCACCAGCTCTGCCTGGTCATTGTCACGGGAGGACCCCACTCAACTAGCAAGGTGGGCCCGGCTGCTCCCAAGGGATGCCTCCTGTCTGTCCTCAGTCTGTTCGCTGGTCTGTGAGCCGCCTGTCTGCAGCCTGTGGCCTCCCCTCACCACTCCCACCCAACACTAGACAGACTCAGAATCCCACCCGCTGCTGACCTCATTGAGGACCGGCTTCTTCACTGGACTGAACAGAAAGCACCCCTGCTAGCCCTGGAAGCTCCAGAGAAGGCGAAATCCCTGATCCTTCCCACACCCCATCTTGAAGCTACAAGGCTTCACCCCGACCTTCTGCCCTCCAGGCACTGCACATCCCTGACATAGAGAATGCCCTGACTCCAAAACTCATGTAGACCAGTGAACAGGGGCAGCCATAAACAAAGTCCGACCGCCCCAGCCTAGAGCACACAGGCCTCCCTGCTTCACTACTAGGATCCACAGCCCATGGGATGATGCATGCTGTCTTCCCACCCCACTAGATCGGAAGACCCTAGGTCTGCGGGTTGGCAGCCCACCCCATACCCACATGGTGCCAGACACCCAACAAGCACTCAGCCCACATGGGATCGGACCAATCAGCTTAATTCTTTTAGGGGAGGAGAAAGGTCTGAGAGGGATCACCACTCAATCAAAGAAAGAGTGTGGCATTAAGTAGCCTCATTCACATCTGTGGGAGCAACTGAGCACACCCATCCCCTATTCAACGGTGAGATGGCCTTGGAAGTCTCAGTCTCATTCTGAGCCACTGAACAGGATACAATTCCAGCTGCTTCTTATCACTGACATCTTTGTTTCTGAAACAACTAAGGTTTGGGGCCAGGCATGGTGGCTCATGACTGTAATCCTAGCAGTTTGGGAGGCCAAGGGTGGGAAGATCACTTAAGCTCAGGAGTTTGAGACCAGCCTGGACAACATAGTGAGACCTCTTTCTTTTTTTAAACCAAAAAGAAAGAAAGAATTAAGGTTTGGAACAGGAGAAGAGGGTCTGTAGGGCTTGTGGAGAAATGGGGCGGTGGGCCACGCCTGGAACAGGACATAAGGGCGTGCAGTCACAGCCCCATATACCTGTCGTCCTTACCTGGATCCAGCCCAAGCAAGTGCTACATGACAAGCCACAGCCCTGGGATGCAGCAGGGGGAAGAAGACAGATAGGGTCCTCCTCCATGGATTTCCATGTTCTTCCACACCTACAATGCACCCATGGGAACAGGGAGGCGGGGGTGAGCAAGGCACAGTACATTCCTAAGGGCCTCAGAATGTGGTACAGGGTGCAGATACCTTACACACAGCCGCTCCTAATATTCTCCTGTCCAGACATCACTACGGGAGGTCCTCAAATAGTGTCATCATAACACTGATGAGAAAAAATCTATTCCAGCCAGGGCTACTGTCTGTGAGGAGTGTGCATGTTCTCCCCATGTCTGCATGGGTGTTCTCTGAGTACCCTAGATTCCTCCACATCCCAAAGCTGTGCACTTAGGCTCACTGGTGTGTCTAAATGGTCCCAGTCTGAGTGAGTGTGGGTGTGGGTGCACCCTGCCATGAGGTGTCCCGTCCAGGACTGGTTTCCGCCCTATGCCCTGAGCTTCCCGGATAGGGGACCACCTGCAACCCTGAACTGGAGTAATTAGGTAAATAATTATCTAACTTTTTATTAATTGTTCATAAATGCATGTATAGCTCACATTTCAATGGTTAATATTAGAAATGTTTGGGGTCTTTAAAAGTTCAGTGATGTTTTTGTGGTCAGAAACATTCACAGGAACTTAACTCTTGCTTCCATCAATTAGCCTATAGTAAAACTGGTTTCATTCTATGTTTTGCTTAAAGGTGAAGATCCCAAGAACCTATCATCAAGATTGAAAACTTACTGTAACTGATCCCAGCATTCTCAGAGCCCCAAAGAAACTTCAGACCCCTTCTTACCTCAGAACTCCAAGGAAACACATGACATGGGATAAAATGCAATTAAAGCACAGAAAGATGCTGACGCAGAATCCTGGCACCACCAACTTCCAGAACTGGAAAGACCCTGAAGACCATCCTGGCCTCCTCAAAGCCTCTAGTACTTACAGACCAGCCCACACGGGTCCCTGGGGACGGAACAAAACCAGGCCCCAGTTAGACCAGGGGAGAAAGGTCTGCAGAGGAAAGCCCAGCTTCTGCACACATTCTACCTCCCATGTGCTGAGAGATCTCTGGGACTCTCACACCCTTCCCTGTGGAATGGCCAGCTCGGCTGCACTGCATCCACCCGCATTGCTTTTTAACCATTCTAAGCCTCTAAGGCAGATGGGTGTTTAAAAACCCATAAACTGCCGGGGGCGGTGGCTCATGCCTGTAATCACAGCACTTTGGCAGGCCGAGGCGGGCGGATCACGAGGTCAGGAGATCGAGACCATCCTGGCTAACACGGTGAAACCCCGTCTCTACTAAAAATACAAAAAATTAGCCGCGCGTGGTGGCGGGCGCCTGTAGTCCCAGCTACTCAGGAGGCTGAGGCAGGAGAATGGCGTGAACCCAGAAGATGGAGGTTGCAGTGAGCTGAGATCGTGCCACTGCACTCCAGCCTGGGCGACAGAGCAAGACTCCGTCTCAAAAAACAAACAAACAAACAAAACAACCCCATAAACCAGCCCACAAGTCCGCCGAGATTAGCACTCCCCCACCTTCCAACCAGACCTCCACCACATGTATTTTCAGTGGGGAAATGCCTCTGGATTTTGAACAATCATTTACAAGTGAATTTCCATTAGGGGAAAAAAAAAATGCCTGGAAATTTACTTTCCTGCCTTGTATTATATTTCTTTCAGGCCATGGAGTCCTTTATTTCCATGCCTCCCACTCTGTTAGGACTCCCTTGGGTGGGAGTGCCACCTAGTGCCACTGTGAGGCTCTACAGGCTCTCAGGCCACCTGCAGATGGAGGCCTCCCTGCCTCAGTCAACCCACCTGTATTCTCTGCCAGGTCTCAGCTGTGTGAATTTCATGCACTACTTCTAGAGGGATGCCCTGTGCCAGGGAACAGAAGGTAGCTGCGGAACAGGGGTGGCAGGTGTCCTCAGCTAATTCTTATTTCCTGGCTCTTGGCCAATTCTCATTCCCTAGGGGCTGGCAGAGGCCCCTCAAGGAAGATGGCTGGTGTCTTAACGGCTAGTACAAGAAACCACAGGCAGGCATCAGCCTCCTAGACATCTCGGCAGAGAGGCCGGGCAAGCACAAAGTGCCTTCAGGCTATTTCTCTACACACCAGATTCTCCTAGCCCTGCCCAACTCCCCACTCACCTTTAAGATGAGAATCGTTTTTGGCAGTCCCACTAGCCTGTGAGATGTCCCGGATACCCCTGACCCATTCAGAGCCCCACCAGCAGCTCCCTAAGGGTCCTGCCCAGGCACTGAGGAAGGGCAGACTGAGGTGGAATAAAGGAAAAGTGCTTTAGGCCAGATGTGGTGACTTAATGTCTGTAATCCCAGCACTTTGGGAGGCCCAGTAGTTTTGTAAAAACACAAAAATATAAAAATTAGCCAGGTGTGGTGGTATGTGCCCGTAATCCCAGCTACTCGGGAGGCTGAGGTGGGAGATCACTTGAACCCAGGAGGCAGAGGTTGCAGTGAGCTGAGATCGCACCACTGCATTCCAGCCTGGGTGACAGAGCAAGACTCCATCTCAAAAAACAAAAAAAGAAAAAGAAAAAGTGCTTTCAGGCCGGGCATGGTGGCTCACACCTGTAATCCCAGCACTTTGAGAAGCTAAGGTGGGCGGATCACCTGAGGTGAAGAGTTCAAGACCGGCCTGGTCAACATGGTGAAACCATTTCTACTAAAAATACAAAATTAGCTGGGTGTGGTGGCATGCGCCTATAATCCCAGCTACTCGGGAGGCTAAGGCTGGAGAATCGCTTGAACCTGGGAGGTGGAGGTTGCAGTGAGCTGAGATCGCGCCACTGCACTCCAGCCTGGGCAACAAGAGCGAAACTCTGCCTAAAAAAACAAAAAAAAAACAGTGGTTTTAGGTAGAGTCGTCTGGCAGACAGCTTCACGCAGGGCCACAGGTGTCTTGAGTTGGCAATCCCTGGATTCCTTCCAACCCAGAAGTTTAGCCTTGTGTTTAAGTTCCATTTTTTTTTTTTTTTTTTTTTGAGACAGAATCTCACTCTAACCCCAAGGCTGGAGTGCAGTGGCATGATCTTGGCTCACCACAACCTCTGCCTCCCGGGTTCCAGCGATCCTCCTGCCTCAGCCACCCAGGTAGCTGGGACTACAGGCGCCTGCCACCACACCGAGCTAATTTTTGTATTTTTAGTAGAGACGGGGTTTCACCATGTTGGCGAAGCTCATCTCAAACTCCTGACCTCAGGTGATCCACCCACCTTGGCCTCCCAAAGTGCTGGGATTACGGGCATCAGCCACCATGTCCTACTGAGTTCCACATCTTCTTGAGACATGGTCCCTCCACTATTCCACACATTGACCGCTCAAAGCCATGGGGACATGGCTGTGTGAGCCACACTTCCACCCTCTGTGATATCCTCCTGCCCTAGAATGAGCCTATAATTCTCTGAGGTCAGAGCTGGCCCCTGCCAGCCAGTTCCAGTGGCATAAGAACACTACGGGAGTTCAGGTAGCACCGGAGCAGGCGGGAGGCTCTGCTTCCCTGCCAATTTGACTATTTGCCCATTTCCACACTCACACCTATTAGGCAAGAAGTAAAATAGTACTTACTAAAGCTCCACTCCCTGCCAGCATGGGGCCAGGTATTTACCTACACATCATTCTCATTTAACAACTTTTTGAGGGCGTGAATGGCCCTATTTATAGATGAGACTAATAAAGCTACAGCACGTATGTGGCTTACCAACATGGAGAACATGTCCGATACTGCTCACCACCAGGTACACCATGGCGCCGGGATGCGTGCTGAGCACAGGCCCATGGGGCTCCAGGCAGGGGACAGGGAGAGAAGGAGGACACAGGCCACTTCACAGGGTCCTGCCTTATGCTTAGGCCGAATGGTGACAGATCAGACAGGCTGATCTGTCTTTATTCCTTTTGATGAACTGGAATACTGTACTATACTTTTTTTTTTTTTTAATTCTAAATAGAGGCTAGAAACAAAGAAGCAGCACTCAGGCAGGAGTGGGCATCCCTGCAAGCCCGGCTGCTCCTGAGTAAGGCCTTTCCTGCACTGCTGCTCCCCAAACACCTCAGCCCTTGCCACAAGCCCCTAGGGCCATGCCTCAAAACAACAAAACCACCTTACGGATTCAAGCAATTCTCCTGCCTCAATCTCCAAAGTAGCTGGGATTACAGGCGCCCGCCACCACGCCCAGCTAATTTTTGTATTTTTAGTAGAGATGGGGTTTCACCATATTGGCCAGGCTGGTCTTGAACTCCTGACCTCGTGATCTGCCCACCTCAGCCTCCCAAAGTGCTGGGATTACAGGCATGAGCCACCACGCCCTTTTCCCTTTTTAAAAAAAGATTACATATTTGTCGGGTGCAGTAGCTCATGCCTATAATTTCAACACTTTGGGAGGCCAAGGCAGGCATATCACTTGAGCCCAGGAGGTTTTGACCTGCCTGGGCAACATGGCAAAACTCTTATTAAAAAAAAAAAAAAATATATATATATATATATATATACACACACACACACACACACACACACACACACAATTAGACGGGCATGGTGGTGCATGCCAGTAATCCCAGCTACTCAAGAGGCTGACGTGGGAGGTCAAGGCTGCAGTGAGCCATGATCACACCACTGCACTCCACTCTGGGCAACAGAGCAAGACCCTGTCTCAAAAAAGAAAAAGTTAAAAAAAAAAAAGAGAGATTACATATTTACCATTAAAAATCTCTCATTAGCCCTAAACTGGCAACAGTCATCTAACCCTGGTCTCACACCACTCTGAACCGGACCCTCCTCTGTACTTCCTCCTGCACCAGCTCGAGGGAGCCACAGGGCTGTTCTGTTCAGACCTGAGGGCCCCATTCAGGCACTCTCACTGGACGTGCATGTCACTTGATTCCAGTGACTGAGGACCTGAGAACTCCTTCGTCCTCCATTTTCCGGAGCAGAGAAGAAACAGTGAAAGCTACAGAAAAGCATCTCTGCTTTTGTGAAAGCACAATTCTCTTCCCATGCTGACTCGGTCTGGGGAAGAGGTCAACTTTTAGATCCATTCTTCTGAAGAAGCAAGTATCCCGCTCCCCTCACCCAGCACTGGTCATCTTGAATCAGTGAAGAGGAAAGCTCTTCACTTCCTAACGTCACGTCCTACACGTTACAAACTCTGACTGAAATTTCTCACTCAGAATATTTGTAACCTAAACATTTAGACCGAGTGGCAAGGAAGGAGGATCCATGTGCTTCCAGAAATAAGGCTTGGCCCCAGACAGAGCCAGAGGCTGCCCTGCCTTTGGCACAGGAGCTGCAGGCTGAGCAAGTGCCTCCCCTCGGGCCAGGCCCTCTGTCCTCCAAACGGTTGGGACAGGAGAGCTTGGCCCTGCTCTGTGGCCACCCAGGCAGATGTATTTTGGCTGTGCCTGCCCTTGGCTGTGGGGCTGCTGCCAGGTGGTGGTGGCCCCAGGAAGAAACCAGCCCTCCCCCAAGACCTAGATCTATAGGGCAGAGGTAACACAAAGGAACTCAGGACACTGTGACTGGGCACAGCGCAGGCCCAAAGATGTGGGGCAGATCCGGTCACAACAGCAGCCCCACGTCCCTTCTGGAGAGTCTGGATGGCCACCCCTGCTGTCAAGCCCCCGCCCCATGGGAAACTCACCTCCACTTGCCCTGACTAACTGCAAGCAGAAGTGTCCACCAAATGCCCCGGGTCTGTGGAGGGGCAGGGAAGAGGGGATGAAGGGGGATGAAGGGGGATGAAGCGGGGAAGTGGGGAGAAAAGGGAAGATGAGAGACGCTTGTTGGCCAAGAAGACCGGTGGAGAGGAAATGACACAGCTACCCCAAGAGAGGCAAAACGGGCAGTAAGGACGCCCGCAGGCCACTCCCTCCCCTCAGAGATCTGCCTCCATCCTTCCCTAGCCTCGGCCAAAAAAAACAGTTCTGTCTCAACTACTAGCTAATGGGTTTTTCTTTGTAGAGGCATGGTTTTGCTATGTTGCCCAGGCTGGTCTCAAATTCCTGGGCTCAAGAGATCTTCCTGCCTCAGCCTCTCAGGCAGCTGGGACCATAGGCACACACCACCACCCCTGGCTGGTTTTTCTTTTCTTTTCCCTTATTTGTTTTTTGAGACAGACCAGGCTGGAGTGCAATGGTGCAGTCTTGGCGGAGGTGGGAGGATCACGTGAGATCACCTGAGCCTGGGAGTTCGAGGCCGTGGTGAGCCCTGCTCACACCACTGCACTCCAGACTGGTCGACAGAGTGAGTACCTGTCTTTTTTTTTTTTTCGAGACAGAGTCTCGCTGTCACTAGGCTGAAGTGCAGTGGCATGATCTCAGCTCACTGCAACCTCCACCTCCCAGGTTCAAGCGATTCTCCTGTCTCAGCCTCTCAGGTAGCAGAGACCACAGGTACACACCACCAACCCTGGCTAATTTTTCTTTTCCTTTTACTTTTTTTTTTTTTTTTTTGAGACAGAGTTTCATTGCCCAGGCTGGAGTGCAATGTGCAATGGCGCAGTCTCGGCTCACTGCAACCTCCACCTGCTAGGTTCAAGCGATTCTCCTGTCTCAACCTCCCAATTAGCTGGGATTACAGGCACCCGCTACCACACCCAGCTAATTTTTTTGCATTTTTAGTAGAGACAGGGTTTCACCATGTTGGCCAGCTGGTCTCCAACTCCTGACCTCAGGTTATCTGCCCACCTTGGCCTCCCAAAGTGCTGGGATTATAGGCATGAGCCACTGCTCCTGGCCCCCTGCCTAATTTTTTTTTTTTTTTTTTTGAGACAGAGTCTCGCTCTGTCACCCAGGCTGGAGTGCAGTGGCCGGATCTCAGCTCACTGCAAGCTCCGCCTCCCGGGTTCACGCCATTCTCCGGCCTCAGCCTCCCGACTAGCTGGGACTACAGGCGCCCACCACCTCGCCCGGCTAGTTTTCTGTATTTGTTAATAGAGACGGGGTTTCACCGTGTTAGCCAGGATGGTCTCGATCTCCTGACCTCGTGATCTGCCCGTCTCGGCCTCCCAAAGTGCTGGGATTACAGGCTTGAGCCACCGCGCCTGGCCCTAATTTTTTAATGTATTTTTTTGTAGAGACAGAATCTTGCCTCGCCAGGCTGGTCCTGAACTCCTGGGCTCACACAATCCTCCCACCTCAGTCTCCCAGAGTGTTGGGATCACAGGCATGAGCCACCATGCCTAGCTGAAATTGTATATTTTCAGTTAGATGTTTTGTAACCAAACATTTGAGGTATCATCTAAAACAGTATTTGTCAATCTCAGGAAAAGAGGCAACGGGCAATATGCCATGATTGCTGAATGATTTTTTTATGACTTTTGGGGACAAATAGGCAGCATATCTGAAATCACAACTGCCACACAAAGGCAGGACACATGACCACTGCAGCAGTATAAACTACGGATCCATAAACTATGGATCTATACCTGGTAGCCATCCACCCTCTGTCTGCTCACTCACCACGGCTCTCGGCACAGGCCCCTATGTCAACAGCCAAAGCCACAAGCCACACCTGTGGAGCCCAAGTGAACACTCTGGCCATGAGCCAAGAGCGTTCCCAGGACATCATGAGTTCCTGAAAAGAAACTCAGAGAAGCAGCTCTTCTACTTCTCAGCAGTCCCTGAGCTCCTGCCTTCAAGAGTGCCCTCGGTGCCCCACAGAAAATCACCTCTGCCCACTGGTGGGCCACAGGTTGAATCAGGGACTCAAGGGAATAGCATTCTGGAAGCCAAAAAGCATTATTCGAGCTGTGCTCACTCCACGCGACGGGGCTAAATGGAACTAAAAGGAACACTCTGGATCTTCAACCTGAGCAGCTCAGCAAGCAGCTTTCCAGAGCATGATCTCAAGCTACTTTTTTTTTTTTTTTTTTTTTTTGGAGACAGGGTCTTGCTCTGTCACCCAGGCTGGAGTGCAGAGGCACAATCTCAGCTCACTGCAACTTCTACCTCCTGGCTCAAGCAATCCTCCCACCTCAGCCTCCCAAGGAGCCAGCAACACAGGCCCATGCCACCACACCGGCTAATTTTTGTATTTTTAGCAGAGACGAGGTTTCACCACGTTGCCCGGGCTGGTCTCAAACTGGTGAGCTCAAGTGATCCGCCCACCTCAGCCTCCCAAAGTGCTGGGATTACAGGCATGAGCCACCACTCCGGGCCTCAAGCTACCCTTTCTAGCAACATCATTCTGTGGAATAAAAACTTAACATAAAAACATCCTTTTTGTTTCAGTTTGGTGTTTTTTTTGTTTTTCTTTTGAGACGGAGTCTCACTCTGTCTCCCAGGCTGGAGTGCAATGGCGTGATCTCGGCTCACTGCAACCTCTGCCCCCCAGGTTCAAGCAATTCTCCCACCTCAGCCTCCCGAGTAGCTGGGATTACAGGTGCCTGCCACCACGCCCGGCTAATTTTTGCATTTTTAGTAGAGACGGGGTTTCACCATGTGGGCCAGGCTGGTCTTAAACTCCTTACCTCAGGTGATCCACCCGCCTCGGCCTCCCAAAGTGCTGGGATTACAGGTGTGAGCCACCAAGCCCGACCTTTTTTTTATTCTTTTGAGACGGACTTTCACTCTTGCTGCCCAGGCTGGAGTGCAATGGCACAATCTCACTCTGTCGCCCAGGCTGGAGTGCAGTGGCGCGATCTCGGCTCACTGCAACCTCTGCCTGCCGGGTTCAAACGATTCTCCTGCCTCGGCCTCCTGAGTAGCTGGGATTACAGGCATGTGTCACCACTCCTGACTAATTTTTTGTAGTTACTAGAAAAGGGGTTCCACCATGTTGGTCAGTCTAGTCTTGAACTCCTGACCTCAGGTGATCCACCCGCCTCGACATCATGCTCAATTAATGGATAAAAGACTCAGTCTTACCATAGATCTTATCAAAATCAGCATATGATTTTTTTTCTTTCCTTTTGAAGTCCAGAACTTTCACCTTTTCACTTAAAGAAAGCACTTTACCGCTTTCTCTTCGGCAATCCAAATTGCCAGAATCACTATTATGCACTTTGGGGCCAGCATCAAGCCAAATAAGGGTGACCTGAACACAAGCACCGGAATACCACAACAGCTGATCTGATAACTGAGATGGCTACTAAGTGACTTATGGGCAGGCGCATAGACACTGAGGTCACAATGGACAGAGGGAGGATTCATATCCTAGGTGGGAGAGAGTGAGAGTTCATTATGCTACTCAGAACAGGGAGACATTTAAAACTTAGGAATTGAGGCCGGGCATGGTGGCTCACGCCTGTTATCCCAGCTTTGGGAGGCTGAGGTGGGCGGATCACCTGAGGTCAAGAGTTCAAGAACAGCCTGGCCAACATGGTGAAACCCCATCTCAACTAAAAATACAAAAAAAAAAAGTAGCCAGGCATGGTGCCACAAGCCTGTAATCCCAGCCACTGGGGAGGCTGAGGCAGGAGAATTGCTTGAACCCGGGAGGTGGAGGTTGCAGTGAGCCGAGATCGCGCCACTGCACTCCAGCCTGGGCGACAGAGTGAGACGCTGTCTCAAAAAAAAAAAAAAAAAAAGTAGGAATTATTTCTGGAATTTTACATTTAATATTTTCACACTGCAGGAACATGAAACCTTGGATAAGGGGTAAATACTCTGATTGTTTTAGAAGTCAAATGCATGCCACAAATCATAAAGGTATCCATACCCTTTCAGGCAGCAATCCTACACCTAGGCATTCATCATGAGGAAAAGGCCTTATGTGCAAAGGTGTGCTCTGCAACATTATTCATGGTGGCAAAGACCACCAGTATACCAGAATCAACTGATGTGGTAAAGCCTCAGTGGCAACCAGAGACTTCGGGACCTGGGCGCCTGTCACCACTGAGGAAGAGCCAAGAGTGTGGCTCCAGGGTGGCTCACACCTGGAATCCCAGCACTTTGGGAGGCCAAAGTGGGAGGATAGCTTGAGACCAGCCTAGGCAACATAGTGAGATCCCATCTCTACAAAAAATAAAAAATTAGCTGAGTGTGGTGGAGGTGCATGCCTGTGGTCCCAGCTACTTGGGAGGCTGAGGTGGGAGGAATGCTTAAACCCGGAAGGTTAAGGCTACAGTGAGCTGTGACTGCACCACTGCACTCCAGCCTGGGCTGTCTCAAAAAAGAACCTGTCTCAAAAAAGAAAAAAAAAAAAACAGCTGAATCCATTTAAAAATAGAGAAAAAAGGACAGGCATGGGAGCTCACGCGTGTAATCCTAGCACTTTGGGGGCCCAAGATGGGTGGGTCACAAAGTCAGGAGATTGAGACCATCCTGGCCAACACGGTGGAACCCCATCTCTACTAAAAATACAAAAATTAGCTGGGCGTGGTGGTGCGCACCTGTAGTCCCAGCTACTTGGGAGGCTGAGGCAAGGGAATCACTTGAACCTGGGAGGCGGAGGTTGCAGTGAGCCGAGATCATGCAGTCTGGCCTGGGAGACAGAGTGAGACGCAGTCTCCAAAAAAAAAAAAAAAAAAAAAAAAAAAAGCCGGGTGCAGTGGCTCACACTTGTAATCCCAGCACTTTGGGAAGCTGAGGCGGGCAGATCACCTGAGGCTGGGAGTTAGAGACCAGCCTGACCAATATGGAGAATTCCCATCTCTACTAAAAATACTACATTAGCCGGGTGTGGTGGCACACGCCTGTAATCCCAGCTACTCGGGAGGCCGAGGCAGGAGAATTGCTTGAACCCAGGAGGCGGAAGTTGCGGTGAGCCGAGATGGCACCACTGCAACTCCATCCTGGGCAACAAGAGTGAAATTCCGTCTCAAAAAAAAAAAAAAAAAAAAAAAAAAAAAAAAAAAAAAAATTAGAGACAAAGACAAGAAGTGAATGCATAAAAAATAAAGCTCATGATGAAGCAATCACAGTCACATGGCGAGAAGGCATGGGAATCATGATGTCCTCTGTTTTCCAACATTCTGTCATAGTGTTTACTGTATCATCTCTGTCATTTAACAGGGAATAAGACTGATTTCCACAAGCATATCAAGACCATTCAATAGGGAAAGGATAGTCTTTTTAACAAATGGTGCTGGGAAAACTGGATGCCCACATGCAAAAGAAGGACATTGGATTCTTCTCTTATACTGTAAATAAAAATTAATTCAAAAATGGATAAAAGACTTAAATTAAAACTACCCTGGCGAAGTGGCACACACCTATATCCACTACTGGGAAGGCTAAGGTGAAAGAAACATGTGAACCCAGGAGTTCAAGGCTGTAGCAAGATATCATCACACCACTACTCTCCAGCCTGAGCAGCACAGTAAGACCCTGTCTCTGGAAAAAGAAAAAAAAAACTAAAACTGGCTGGGCACAGTGGCTCACGCCTGTAATCCCAGCACTTTGGGAGGCCGAGGTGGGCAGATCACTTGAGGTCAGGAGTTTGAGACCAGCCTGGCCAACACGGTGAAACCTCATCTCTATTAAAGATGCAAAAAATTAGCCAGGCCTGGTGGTGGGCGCCTGTAATCCCAGCTACTGGGGAGGTTGAGGCAGGAGAATCGCTTGAACCCAAGAGGTGGAGGTTGCAGTGAGCCGAGATTGCTCTGCTGCACTCCAGCCTGGGTGACAGGGCGAGTCTCCGTCTCAAAAAACACAAACAAACAAACAAAAAAACTGTAGCCCCGAAGGGAACATTAGGTAGGGCTCATCTGCCTTTGGTTCTTCAAGCTGGCTTATCATCAGAATCACCTACAGAGCTCCTGAAATACAGATCTTGAGCCTAGCCCAAACTTTCTAGATTTCCAGGAGTTAATGAATTCAAATTCGTAATTCTTTTTTTTTTTTTGAAACGGAGTCTCGCTCTGTCACCCAGGCTAGAGTGCAGCGGCGTGATCTTGGCTCACTGCAACTCCACCTCGCGGGTTCACACCATTCTCCTGCCTCAGCCTCCCCAGTAGCTGGGGCTACAGGCACCCGGCACCAGCCCGGCTAATTTTTGTATTTTTAGTAGAGACGGGGTTTCACCTTGTTAGCCAGGATGGTCTCAATCTCCTGACCTCGTGATCCGCCTGCCTCGGCTTCCCAAAGTGCTGAGATTACAGGTGTGAGTCACTGCGCCTGGCATCAAATTCATAATTTTTAAAGCTCCCTGACAATTCTGGTATCAGTTACATTTGAAAGATCTCACATTTTTCATTTGTGATGACAGTGATTAGGTGAAACCAGAGATGGGATTAGGACCTGGCCCCAGACAGCCATTCAAGACTCTCCTTCTCAACCTGCTGCCATTCCTGAAAACTTATACAGTTGAGTATCCCTAATCTGAACATCCAAAATGCTCCAAAATCAGAGACTTTTTGAGTGCCAACATGACACCAACAAGTGAAAAATTCCACATCTGATGTCATGTGACAGGTCACAGTCAAAACTTTGTTTTGGCCAGGCATGGTGGCTCACGCCTGTAATCCTAACACTTTGGGAGACCAAGGCGGGTGGATCACGAGGTCATGAGTTCAAGACCAGCCTGGCCAAGAGGGTGAAACCCTGTCTCTACTAAAAATACAAAAATTAGCTGGGCACAGTAGCAGGCACCTGTAATCCCAGCTACTCAGGAGGCTGAGGCAGGAGAATTGCTTGAACCCAGGGGTGGAGGTTGCAGTGAGCCGAGATCATGCCACCGCACTCCAGCCTGGGTGAGAGTGAGACTCTGTCTCAAAAAAACAAAACAAAACAAAAAACTTTGTTTCATGCACAAAAAAAGTGCTGTATAAAGTTACTCTCAGGCTATGTGTAGAAAGTACATCTAAAACATAAATGAGACCCCTGTCTCCACAAAAATTCAAACAAATTAGCCAGGCATGGTGGCACAGGCTTATATTCCCAGCTACTCAGGAAGGCTGAGGTGGGGGGATGGCTTGAGCCTAGGAGGTCAGGGATGCAGTGAGCCATGATCGTGCCACTGTACTCCAGCCCTAGGTGACAGAGCAAGACTCTGCCTCAAATAAATAAACTGGCCTGGCGCAGTGGCTCACACCTGTAATCCACACACTTTGGGAGGCTGAGGTGGGCAGATCACCTGAGGTGAGGAGTTCGAGACCAGCCTGGTCAACATGGTGAAACCCTGTCTCTACAAAAATATAAAAATTAGCCGGGCATGATGGCAGGTGCCTGTAATCCCATCTACTAGCGAGGCTGAGGTGGGAGAATCGCTTGAACCAGGGAGGTGGAGGTTGCAGTGAGCCGAGATCGCGCCACTGCATTCCAGCCTGGGCAACAGAGCGAGACTCCATCTCAAAAAAATAAATAAGTAACTAAAATAAAATAAAATAAATTTTGTGTTCAGACTTGGGTCACATCCCCAAGTTATCTCAATCTATATCTACAAACATTGAAAAAAAAAATCCAAAACACTTTCAGTCCCAAGCATTTTGGATAAGGGATACTCAAACTCCAATGTCAACTCCAAGTCCAGACCACTTCCCCTTTATAAAATGAAGTGTTGGAGTCCCACTTGGAAATCCAGGAGTGGCCAGTGCAGTGGCTCACACCTGTAATCCCAGCACTTCGGGAGGCTGAGGCAGGAGGGTCGCTTGAGCCCAGGAGTTTGAGACCAGCCTGGGCAACAGTGCAAGACCTCATAACTACAACCAAAGAAAAAGAACATCCAGGAGGAGTTCTGTGACCATTGTATTCAATCTGGAAGAGTATCTAACTTAAGCCCAGTTATTTACCAACAGGTGCTTTGAGACCTCACACTGCATTAAGCCACTCCACTCCAGTGTCCTGTCACTTTCCAGGCCCTGGGACTTATGAGTTAATCACCCCTGTCCTCTTTAGAACCATCTTCTGGTCTGAAACTATGTATGGCAATAACCCCAATTACATAAACAGCAGATACTAAAAAACTACTGGCACTGGTCTTCTACGATTTTGAAAGTGGCAGGTTTCTTCCAATTTTTTTTTTTTTTTTTTTTTTGAGATGGAGTCTCGCTCTATCGCCCAGGCTGGAGTGCAGTGGCCGGATCTCAGCTCACTGCAAGCTCCGCCTCCCAGGTTTACGCCATTCTCCTGCCTCAACCTCCCGAATAGCTGGGACTACAGGCGCCCGCCACCTCGCCTGGCTAGTTTTTTTTTGTATTTTTTTAGTAGAGGCGGGGTTTCACCGGGTTAGCCAGGATGGTCTCGATCTCCTGACCTCGTGATCCGCCCGTCTCGGCCTCCCAAAGTGCTGGGATTACAGGCTTGAGCCACCACGCCCGGCCTTCTTCCAAATTTTTATTCTC